ACTTATATTCAAGGTCACAGGGGTCAAATTTGTTTAAAATCTTTAAACAACCTCTTCTGAATAACCATGGGTCCCAGGATGTTTATACTTTGCAAGTTGCATCCTGAGATGAAAGGCTATACAATGTGTTCAACATAATGACTTTGTTCGACTTTCAATCACAGGGGTGAAATGTTCCAAAAAAATATAACAGGGTCTTTTGAATGAATTTTAATCATAAATACTGATATTTTGCCTGTAGCTTTATTTTAGATCACTTTTAAGGTTATAAGTGTGAGTTTTATACCAGGTGAGCGATGCAGGCCCATTGGGCCTCTTGTTTTTTTTAACTTCATAAATATAAGATTAATAATAGTTCACAAAATAAGAATTCATGGACATCATTATGATTGGTTATCATTAGAAAAAATGATTATTTTAAAAAAAAAAGTTTTATGATTGGAATAATTGTGTTCTTTTTTCATACAAAATACAAAAAAAAATACCAAAAGTATTTAGTTGAATAGAAAATTATAAATATATTTATTAAAATAAAAATTAGCTGCTGTAGTCATGTTTTATGTTTAAATCACAATGCTGACTAACCTAACTAACTAAACTGCATTATTCTAACCTGACCTATATACTTCTAACTTTTATTGCTGTTTTATGAACACTTACCACACTTCCAAATAAAACTATCCCTAGAAAAATGTTAATCTGACAGATCACTTACGCATCTATTATGAAACCATCTATCACAGCCAGCATCACAAGAAACCCTATCATCAAATACATTTGAGATGTGACACCCATCTGCTTCGCAATCAATAAAAATATCAAATGATAAAGAAGTTTTCTTTTGCCTATGCCTAATCAATTTTTTCCTATGAAATTTAGTAAAGATTCCATTGGAAATACATTCCACAAGATGTTGTCTCATGCAAGTGGTGTCAAACTCTAACTCTTCACTCCCGTTAAACCCATTGAAACAAAATTCTACCAAGTTAGCAATAGCAAAAACCCCACAGTCAACCCTGTTTTTCGGTTGTTGCACATTTGGTAATACTGTTTTTAAAACTTTTCTATTTTCCCCATATGATGATGACAACTGCATTTCTAAAGAAGCTGACAAATGACCCTTCTGTTTCGTATTTCCTATCAAACTATCAAGAAAGTATACTTCCCCAATATCTACCTTCTGTACTGACACTACCCAATGGTCCTCACCTTCCCCACTATCTACCCCCTGTACTGACACTACCCAATGGTCCTCACCTTCCCCACTATCTACCCCCTGTACTGACACTACCCAATGGTCCTCGCCTGTATGATGAATTTGTGCTGATGCAGCGCTAGTTGGTTTCATTCTGAGTGCATAGTCCCACTTAGTGTTTTTCAAAATTGGAGCATAACCTGTATCTTGCATTCCGCCTATATTAGGAAGCTATTTCTTTAAATTATCTTGTACGTTACACATGATATTACCACATAGTTTGTTATCAATTAATAAATCATTTTTATCCTTAAAACTTAACGTACTTTTACCGTTATCCATCCAGATACGTATTGTTTCTGTGGGCTTAATAAGCGTCGGTCTGTCATCTGAAAAATCCAATAAAATATCACTTACAGTAGTAGGAAAGTGCCGCTTTTGGCGCACGGTCATCCGGTGCACTCCCCTATATATCCCTATCCACCTCCCTGGCACCCCCCTAGTGCCCCCCCCCCTTCGGCAGGGGGGTACCGATCGATGACGTCACAGGGGGGTTCTCATGTATTTGGGTTTTTCCTGACTGCACCTATTTATAGCGACAACCTATATACGAGGGGGTACCGATTGATGATGCCATAGGGGGTTCTCATGTATTTTGGTTTTTCCTGACAGCGGTCCGATTGCATCCCGTTTAGAAATAGTCAAACCTGTTTCAACCGGTTATGAAAACAACAACGAGAAGACGATATATGAACGTGGGTCGGAGAGCCATCCCACATCCATCCTTACAAACATTACCTATTCTATCATGGACAATATATCAATATTTACATGTACATGAGATTCACCTACCACCCATGCTATGATACTGAAGCGATATGTGTTAATGTTATGCTCTTTACCATAACACGGGGTCCTGACATTGAACCTTTCTAGGGTAGTTCACTCTCCTACAAATCGGTTATATCAGACGCACGTATCCAGGAATTGAATTTCTTAGGCCAGTTAAGCCATTTCACGTAGTGTTGTTTGTTACGACCTTTTCCTTTGGTCTTCAAAACGGCTTCCACCTTCCACATATCGTCGTCCCTAACATCCATTTTCTGTAGCTCAGACTAATAAAAGACTCCTTTGATCTCGTCCCCATCATAGTCTTTAACTCTGTATAAGGGTATTCCTCCGCGTAGTATCTTTTGAGAAATGGTAAATATCTCCCCCGTCCATTTTTCGTCAGAAAGGGTTTCTCAAATGAGACAATCTTACTTTATCTCCAACCTTGAACTTAAACGGCTTACGAAGCTTCTTCGTATTTCGTAAGACTGACTGTTTTTTTCGGCCAATACATTCTCCACCAAATAGACGTTTCTTTGTCTTTAGTTACATTTGTTGGGGCCATACCGACTGTCCGGTGATATGTCTGATTGTAGCTGTCGGCAAAAGTCTGGAGTTTCTTTACGTATTCGTAATTTCTTCTGTGCGTGAAATATCTATACAATCTGGATTTAATAATCTTGATGACACGCTCGGCCACGGCAGCTTTGGTTTCGTTTTGAGCATATAAATGCTGGATGTGGTATTGATTCAATAAAGCATTCACCTCCTTTGATCTAAACTCTTTGCCCTTATCGGTACGGATCCGACTAGGTTGTCTCCCCTCAGGGGAGGTAGAAGGAATGTATGACGCAATAAAGGGGAGTTTATACCCGTAAAAGGGGAGGTAGAAGGAATGTATGACGCAATAAAGGGGAGGTAGAAGGAACGTGTGTTATTATTTTGAAAAAGCACATGTCTGAAGACTAAAGCTGCAACATAAAAATCGCCTACTACAATTTCTCACCTGATTCAACCTGAAGGTGTAAATTCAACTCGTCCAATAATTCCTTATTTCCCAAAACACATCTAAGCTCTGGACCTACAGAAAAATCGTGAATAGAACCATCTAAATGATACATAAGCTCTAAAGTGCATGTTAAAGATAGCAAATTATTAATGAAAAAGAAATAATGAAATATTTGTATTAATGTTTTTTTGTGTTTTTTTTTTACATAATTTTTATGCATATTTAGCACGAGTCTTGACGGAGTGATGTCCCCTTAGCACGGGTACGGGTGTAAACAAAACACCCGCGCTCCTCGCCCGTGATCACAACAAAGTCAGAATTTCATGTGAAATATGTCGTTTATTTCAACGAAACTTACATAATTATAAACAGTAAGGTATTTTCTTCTGTATATCTGAAAATAACATGTTAATTTTCACTAGATTTCTAATTATATGTGAAAAACCGTGATTTTCACGGTTGACTGCGGCGTGCAAGTTTTACCCCCTTGAAATACACATTATCGTCGATTTCTAAATTATTAGATGATAAATACACATTTTTGTAACTGTCACATTTAGAAAATAATGTTTGAAATTATTGTATAATGTTACAAAAAAATATAAACGATCGCGTTAATGAGATATTAAAATATCTTTATATTCCTGGTACGGGGTTTTAGTCCGGGTCCGGGAACGGCGTACAAGATTTACCTACCACCTTATAATATGAAAGTAGAACATGTTTGGCGCGTTATGTGTATCTATTTTAAAACAAGCGCGTATTTGTGAAAAGAAGATAAGACCGTCAGCACAAGTTCAGGTGGTGAAACTCTGGAAGATGTCGTTTTCAACTGAACCTTCTAGTCGTGGCGAATTTACGTATATTGCGTTTCCTGACAAACCAACTTACCTGTCGAAGCTAAATAGGAACTGCGCGAAAGAGAACGACCATTGTGCAGGCCTAACGGATGCTAGTGACATCGTAAGTGGTGATAAAGGACATCATACACTTCTGGTGATTCAGCCGCAAGTTTCAGACGAAGATATGGTGGCAAAGTACATTCAGACTGGGGTGATATCACAGAGAATAATTCGAGATCTTCCCGCCGATTTTCCAGGTGGATTTTCGTTGTGTTACTCCTCCAGTTCTAATGTTGTAAAGCGAGGAGTTTGTGTTTACTACAAGGATGAGGAGAGGGATGTCATTCTTCCAGAAATAAAACGCATTTTACATGGTCAAAACGTCAGATCCTACTTCAGATTTAGCAATAATAGAAATGGACGTTTCAAAAGAACTGAACACGATACGACAACGGAGGACATTATAGATGAGGCAACCTATTGTTTGTCCGGAAATCAGACACAGTCTGCCATATTTTCTGTACCAGATTTTACACCTGTCTTCAATGATTATGCAAGAACCAGATTAATTCTGCAGCAGGTAATGATGAATTGAGGAGAATGACACTTCAAGTTGTCATAAATATTGTTTCACTCGTTCCCCCCTGAAACTTCATAATGAACTATTCCAACCTTTGAATTGAAAGAGTTCAAATGTGTCTTCAGTGGTGAATGAGTTAAATACAAAATGCATGCATGGGTCTGTAGTTTTATTTTTAGGACAGACACACATGCCTGCTACGTACACTCACATTGTACACTTGTGATATACATGATCATCCACATTATATTTACAATATTAATTATATATACACATGTCATACGCCTACAAAATATATTGGCGAAATAAATTTGTTATTCATGAAAGGAAACACAAACATGTCTGTTAACCCATTCACCCCTGAAATTTCATAATGAACTATTTCCCACCTTTGAATTGGAAGAGCTCAAAAGTGTCTTCAGGGGTTAATGAGTTAATGATCATGAGTAATCAAAATAGTAAGGTTTAGATAAATGTAAGCTGTGAGCTTATTAAGCAGCCTGATTCCTGCTGCATTATTTCAGGACTTGTTTGTAAGTGATTGTGATATATTTGTGAACCTCATGTGACACGATTTTAACAATGGGTCTTCCAAATGGAATTTCAAGGAATTTCGTGCGAGTTTTTATGGAGTCAAGTGGAAAGTGCCCTTGCAAAAAAATGTATCAAAAACATTAACATTCAACAAGAAAATAATTAATTTTGTATTTTGTTGCTCAGAAGAGTTAAGTTAAATATAACATGGAAAAACTAGTCAAAGGAATTAGACAGGGTGCACATTTTCATCTTACCATTTTGTATTTCTGTATAGAGATTGCCTCTCTTCGCCCATATTCCAAACTATGTCAGAGGACAAATGCGCAGGTAGATTAACAAAAAGCCACTGCACAATCACAAAAAAAATTGTGATGTACTCCTTTTAACAATATGTACATACATGTGCATGTGATTTTCATCTCGCCCACCAAATTGAAAAAGATTTGGCGGAAAAAATGTTGGACTATTTGCAGTTAAAATGTAATGTAAACAGAAGGATGGAAAGAATGTTAAAATTTGTTGTGTAATTTGAATAACTTTGTTTACAGACGTCTGATGTGCCAGAGGTGGCCGAGCTCCTGACCATCGCTGACCGTTTGATACCACAGGACTTGAATGTCCAGCAGCTACAGGAGAATATGAAACATCCCTTTGTTGTGGTGGAAGGCATGGATGCCACAGGTACTTACTTAACATTGAGGCATTTAGTGGGAAAACTGCACTACTGTCCGTCCCACTATAATTTGGTTTTACGGAAAATTAGATTGTGATAGAAATATTTAACTGTTCATCATACTTCTGAATTTTATTTTATTTTGTCAACTTTAATAGCTGTTCAATGTAATAACAAACAAATTGAGGATAAATTTGACTTGAGAAATAAGTCTTCTGTCTAGGAATTTGCAGATTTAATATTAAAACAATACATTTTACCCTCTTAGAATCAATACATTGCATACAATGTTTATCAAAACAAAATAATTTATGTCATTTGCCAAAGAAAAGAACAAATTTTAATATACTGTATATCATTTCTGAAATTATATGATCTCTGATCAGAGATGTCATGTAGATAGTGTTGGTGATGGGCCATATAGAAATTAGATTTACATCTGTTACCAAGTAAAAATAAAGATGTTATGATTATTATTATTATTACTACAGAGATGGAAAAGTTTTACCTGCTGAAAATTGCAAGTGGGAAATATTCTGACCAAAAGGTCACTATGAAAGCTAACAAGTATAAAATATGTTGACTCATTGACTGAAAAATTCTTGCTTTTGACAAAGTCATTGTTGAGCACTTTGAGATCCCTAGGGTTGTAAGAAATGTCATTTACTGAAGCATGCTGGGAAATGGTTTAGTAGATGTAACAGACGTCATTATTTTTTTGATGCCTCCGTTAGGAGTCGAACCTGGGACATCTTGCTAACTAGTCTTACACTCTACAAAATGATCTAAAGAGAAGTTCTCCCTAGCCAAGAGGTTTGGAAGCAGCTAGTATTTTACCAGGGCGACATAGTCCCCCTCCATGAAAGAACTTGTCCCAAGTTTTTCCGGGGGTCATAGCAATTCTTGTGAAAGTATTGCTGAGTAGATTTGTCAATATTACCCGGGTCCCTACGTGGGCGCCAACGAACAGAGGTAATAATTTGTTCAATGCCTCCGCTAGGAGTCGAACCCAAGACCTCTAGCTTACTAGTCTTATAGGCTCTATCAAATGAGCTAAAGAAAAGTTCTCCCGAGCGAAGTTGGTAGGAAGAGGCTCGTATTTTAAAAGGGTGACATACTCTGAGGAAAGACCTTGTACCGAGTTTTCCAGGGTTCATAGTAATTCTTGTGAAAGTATTGCTAAGTATATTTATCAATATTAACCTGGTCCCTACGTTGGCTCCAATGGAACAGAGGTCATTATTTTTTCAATGCCTCGGCTAGGAGTCAAACCTGGGACCTCTAGCTTACTAGTCTTGTGCACTATAGAACGAGCTAAAAACCTATTCTCCCTAGCCCAGTCAGTAGGAGGCGGCTAGTATTTTACCAGGGTGTCCTGGATATGATCTTGCTTTGTACTTTATCTGTCAGGAAAGACAACTCTTACCAAGATTTTGGGAGACAGACTGTCCGCGGTGCGGCTTTACACACCTCCACCACCGATTGAACATCTGCGTAAAATCTTCGACCGACTACCAGAGCTTGTCCGCAGAGCTTACTACAGTATTGGTAACTACATAGTTGCCATGGAGATCTCTAAGGAGTGCCAGGAGCGAGCCGTTGTCATGGACAGGTAACAATATTGTGATGTCACTGAAGATGTTGTGTGCGTAATTTACGGAGCCGTATTCAGAACATAAATAAGACATAAAAGAAAATTTGGTTAGTTTTTATTAACGTATGATATCAAAAGGGCATAGCTGTCAACCTCTAAAACCTCCAATGAGGGAGAGCTCCATCATTCCACATTTCCAATGAGGGAGAAAGTGTGTGAAACACAACTGTAACTGCTTTGCTCAATTTATCTTTCCCTTTTTATGTATTAAAGTCACTCCAAAAAGCATTTATTTGATTAGAACACCTGTTATGATCATTACACACAACCTGCAGTAACTAGGAGATCATTTGACCACAGGATGTGGACTTGAATGATGGAGTTTTGAGGGAGATTGGTAAATTTGGTCAAAATGAGGGAGGGTTAACAGCTATATCTGAAAGGGAAGTAACTTATTGTGAGGAGAAATCATATCTGAAGGATGATGAATTATGTTTTAATAATTGAACACATGTGAGTTAATGTTATACTCGTAAACTTTACTCATTAGCCTAACTATGAAAAACACACATTGTAGCACATTGTTAGCCTAACTATGAAAAACACACATTGTAGCACATTGTTAGCCTAACTATGAAAAACACACATTGTAGCACATTGTTAGCCTGTCTATGAAAAACACACATTGTTAGCCTAACTATGAAAAACACACATTGTAACACATTGTTAGCCTGTCTATGAAAAACACACATTGTAGCACATTGTTAGCCTTTCTATGAAAAACACACATTGTAACACATTGTTAGCCTATCTATGAAAAACACACATTGTAGCACATTGTTAGCCTGTCTATGAAAAACACACATTGTAACGCATTGTTAGCCTATCTATGAAAAACACCCATTGTTAGCCTAACTAAGAAAAACACACATTGTACCACATTGTTAGCCTATCTATGAAAAACACCCATTGTTAGCCTAACTATGAAAAACACAAATTGTAACACATTGTTAGCTGATCCATGAAAAACACGCATTGTAGCACATTGTTAGACTGTCTATGAAAAACACATATTGTAGCACATTGTTAGCCCGTCTATGAAAAACACACATTGTAACACATTGTTAGCCTGTCTATGAAAAACACACATTGGAACACATTGTTAGGCTGTCTATGAAAAACACACATTGTAGCACATTGTTAGCCTGTCTATGAAAAACACACATTGTAACAATGTTTAATTGGTGATGTCATGACGTCCACAGAGCAGCAATGAGATTTAAACTGGTTCATGATTGTTTAAAATCAGGTATCACATCTGTATTTTTTGTACTTATGAAACTAAAGTTGACACTGTAGGATGCATTCTCAAACATGCATTAATGTAAATTTTTCTGCAGTTACTTACAAACCTCTGTGTGTGCAGGTATTGGCACAGTACAGCAGCCTATGGGATCGCTAATGAGAGCAGTACCGGTGATTTACCCCGCAGTGGTCACCCCGTGTACCAGTGGCCTACCGACCTGCTCAGACCGACGGCTGTCCTGTTCCTAACAGTCGGAGAGGAGAAAAGGAAACAGAGGCTCCAAGGCCGTGGCATAGAGAAAACATTTGAGGAGCGAAGCCTGGACAAGGACCAGCTGTTCAGGCAAAGGTAGACTTTAGGATAAATTTATGAGTTAGTGGGAGAACAGGAATCTAGGGAATGGTGGTCTTAGGCAGGATGCTTCCTCAGGTGTATTAGGTCATTCACCCTTGAAGACACATTTGAACTCCTCCAATTCAAAGGTTGGAATAGCTTGTTATGATATTTCAGGGGTGAATGTGTTAATAATCTGTACAAAAATATCTTCCAATATTAAATTCCTTACGATCAGTACATTTTTTTATTAACCCATTCACCCTAAGTCACAATGGAACCATTCTAAGTTAAAGAATAGGCAAGTCCAGTTTAGATATGTAGGGGTGAATGTTAGTTGGTTATCAGGGTTTAACATCCTTTCAACAGCTAAGGTCATTTAAGGACATGCCTCCATGTGTGTTGTGTGTGCCTCCATGTGTGTTGTGTGTGCCTCCATGTGTGTTGTGTGTGCCTCCATGTTCCATGTGTGTTGTGTGTGCCTCCATGTGTGTTGTGTGCCTCCATGTGTGTTGTGTGTGCCTCCATGTGTGTTGTGTGTGCCTCTATGTGTGTTGTTTGTGCCTCCATGTGTGTTGTGTATGCCTCTATGTGTGTTGGGTGTGCCTCTATGTGTGTTGTGTGTCCCTCTATGGGTGTTGTGTGTGCCTCTATGTGTGTTGGGTGTGCCTCTATGTGTGTTGTGTGTCCCTCTATGGGTGTTGTGTGTGCCTCTATGTGTGTTGTGTGTGCCTCTATGTGTGTTATGTGTGTTGTGTATGCCTCTATGTGTGTTGTGTGCCTCCATGTGTGTTGTGTGTGCCTCCATGTGTGTTGTGTATGCCTCCATGTGTGTTGTGTATGCCTCCATGTGTGTTGTGTGTGCCTCTATGTGTGTTGTGTGTGCCTCCATGTGTGTTGTGTATGCCTCCATGTGTGTTGTGTGTGCCTCCATGTGTGTTGTGTATGCCTCCATGTGTGTTGTGTGTGCCTCTATGTGTGTTGTGTATGCCTCCATGTGTGTTGTGTGTGCCTCCATGTGTGTTGTGTGTGCCTCCATGTGTGTTGTGTGTGCCTCCATGTGTGTTGTGTGTGCCTCCATGTGTGTTGTGTGTGCCTCTATGTGTGTTGTGTGTGCCTCTATGTGTGTTGTGTGTGCCTCTATGTGTGTTGTGTGTGCCTCCATGTGTTGTGTGTGCCTCCATGTGTGTATGTGTGTTGGAGACCGGGTATGTTGGGGTGTTTGCCTCTTTGTGATAGCGTTGATCTGATGCCCACTTTATAGTGCCATCTCACTGAATACTATGCCGAAGAAACCCAGCACAACATTCCGCCGGTCACACTATACTGCCATGTCCCTTACTTCTACTTCTAAATGGTACTGACCAACTTCAACAATTTGAAGATAAAATGTCAGACGAGGAGTGAAACATGGAAAGAGATTGTTTTTAAAAGATACGAGATGGTCTAATTTGCGTTTGAAAAGTGACGGTAGAGGGCTGATTTGAATAATTCCGTTGTGGGGCTCGAAATAATGTCAGGTGGGAGTTTATTCCACTTGGGTATAGTTCGAGGGAAGAATGATGCCTTTCTGGTCTGGGTTTTTGAGTGGGGAATTTGATACGAAAACTGGTGGTTTGTTCGGGATTTTCTAACTGTAGGGATTAATCTGTCTGATTTTACGATAGCGACTTTCTGGTTTACAATGTTATGAAGCATGGTCAGACGAGCATCTCTACGTCTATCTGCTAGAGGGCGCAGCTTTAGGTGGTCCAACATTTCTGACACACTGGAGGTACGATGGTTGTACCTGTGCTTATTGAGCACATAGCGCGCTGCCCTTCGCTGGACCATTTCCAACTTGTCAATATTTGTTTGGGTGTGAGGGTCCCATACTGTACAGGCATACTCAAGTGATGGTCGAACTAATGATTTGTATGCCTGTACTTTGGCTGATGTTGAGCCAATTTTAAGATTTCGTCTTAAAAAGCCTAGCGTAGAATTTGCTTTTGGGCAGATAGTATTTATATGTGAATCCCATTTAAGGTCAGATGATAGTGTTACACCCAGATACTTGGCCTGACTAAGATGTTCCAGTATGTGTCCATGTAAAGTATAATTATGGACTATTGGAGTTTTGTTTTTAGTCACCGACACCACATTGCATTTGTTTGGGTGGAAGATCATTTTCCATGTATTTTCCCAGAGCGCTAGTTTGTCAAGATCTTTTTGAAGTGTTGTAGCATCACTGTTCGACTTGATAACTAGATATGCAATAGTGTCGTCTGCAAATAAACGGATTGTAGCATTAAGACCCACAGGGATATCGTTTATAAAGTAAAGAAATAAACTGGGTCCCATAACTGACCCCTGGGGTTTTCTCCGGGTACTCCGGTTTCCTCCCACAATAAGACCCCCCAAGCGATAACACCTGGGCCAACAAGAGTGATTAATATAAGTTGATATAACTTGTTTCATAATTGTTGTAAAAAGGTTATTATTCAGCATATTCAGGACCCTCACCTCAAGGTCAAGGTCAAGGTCAAGTTGAAAGTTTTCTTGTCTGAATCAAGTTCTATGATTTTGATACTGAGGATTAAGCTAACAGATGCTAATGGATATATGTTCAAAAAGATTGGTAGTCTATAGTTTCGACGTAATATATTTTAAAATAAATAATCATTATCAAGTGGAAGTTTTCTGATGATTTATTTACAAGCCATGCAATTAGGCTGTTCAGTTCTGGTATTGATATTACTTTCGCTGAAGCAGTTATGGTAATGTAAGCATTGCACAGATAAAACCTGATTGTCAATATCCTAATTCAAGTGTAAATGACTCCCAAATATTGTCAGTAACCTAATCAATTGTAAACCACTCCCAAGTACTGCATTTGTTTTGTTAAAAACTGTAAAAATTAGGAAAATCTTTTTGCAATATTTTTCAGACTGTGTGACGCTTATCGGCGGATGGAGAACCCGAGTCTTGTTGAGGTAGATGCCAGTGGTACTGTGGAGGAAGTTGTGAAAAGTGCTATAGAGAAACTGACCAACTGTGGGGTTTATGTTCCTAGTGACACTCATGTATAACATCACAAACTGTGGGGTTCATGTACCTAGTGACATTCATGTATAACGTCACAAACTGTGGGGTTCATGTACCTAGTGACACTCATGTATGACGTCACAAACTGTGGGATTCATTTACCTAGTGACACTCATGTATAACATCACCAACTATGGGGTTCATGTACCTAGTGACACTCATGTATAACATCACAAACTGTGGGGTTCATGTACCTAGTGACACTCATGTATAATTTCACTTTGGCCAAAAAAATATATGTGTGTTTCCGGTATTCCGACCTACCCAGGATTTTACTGTCGACCCTAGATATTTTATAACCTATTTGTAACAAAGCCAGGCAAAGTTCATAGCCACTCATTATAATGCACTTTCTTCCTGTTTTTTTAGAGTCTGACCTTATTCTAATGACAAATTACCTTGTAAATTTTTAAATAAAACAATATTAATTCATGAAATAAAAAATTAACATTAAAAATAAAATTATTTGCCTACCGACCTACCCTGTTTTTTTCAGGCGTATATGTTAACTCGAACAAACTTGTTTTGGCCTTATGAAGTGAGGCACATCATGGACAATAAAAATTGATGCATGTCAGCAAATTTGTCTGCAATCCTGTTTAGAATTACTGGCAATTAACAAAAAATGCAGTTAAGTATCATGTGCCTTTGCTTTGAAACTCATTTTGATATTTAAATTTTAGATTTTCACAAAATTGAACGGTCGATAGCCAGTGTAGGCCAGCTGTTCACCATTATAATTGTGTTATTCTTATGTAATTAATTCAATTAGTGTGTATTTGCTTAACTTTCATCAGTATTAAATCAATCACATGTAACTATCCATGTTGGGGTTTGACTTTGACATGAAAATTTCCAAGAGTTTTTGAGATTTGGGACACACCTGAACTGACAAACTTTCACTTATAATTTTTACCATTTACTGTATCAAATTAGCATTCCTGTCTATAAATGTATATAAATAGCATTCCTGACTATAAATGTATATAAATAGCATTCCTGTATATAAATGCCCGGCAGAGACCAATAATTTAAACCTTATAGTAGATTGGTGAGTTAAGCATTTAAAAAATATTTGTCACATTGATCCACTTCCATTATGCTGTCAAGATTGATCAATGACCAGTCGTCAATTCTTTGAGAAATTCCGATGATGGATGATGATTGATGATGATAAAGATGAATTTTGAAATTATGATATCACCGATGTAACATAATGACAGTCTTAAAACTCTCAGCTGACTTTCATAGTTTTATCTTCAATAAGATTCATCAGTTTGGAAATATGTGATATCACAAGTTTTACTTTCTACACAAACAATGTTCGTATTAAACGTGTCGCAACATCTCAAGACCGTCTGGTCCCTTTAATTTGTCAAGCTATGACTGAGTGAGCGATTTGTATTTTTTACCTGTACAACGATGTGACGAAATTGTTTATTTTTCATGTCACTCAACCCGAGATGTTTCGCCCTATGGATAGGGAGTGTATCAATAAACACTGCATCAGATAGCTTACAGGTAGGGTGTATATTGTTATTTTCTGTAACATATTAAAGTAACCATATTTACAAACATATCTGATGCCCCACACTTTAAATATGACAGATTGTTTATTTACCTATAGATTTGTTTACTTAAGGTCATAGGAGTGTATTGATAAACGGAAATAGGAAGTACATCTCTAGTTGAAAATCCAATGTAGGGAGACAGTATCACAATTTCCGAATATTCTAATGTTAATATTAAACTGATGAATATTTTATGTTTATTATTGACAGAACAGTGTGTTCTCTCAATATTAAAGTATTTCAAAGTAATCCAGGCATTAATTTAGTTGTTTTTTATCAATGAGTCACATGTAGCCATTTTTCTGTACTTCAGGAAACCGGCTACCTATTTCACATGTGGTACTGTGAAGTTTTTCAAGAAAGATAACTCTATCATGCAATTACTATGTGTATATGGTTTTATTATTAGAGGTCAATTTTTAATTGTTTATAGATAATTAATTTTACACAATTTCAGCATTTAGTAAATTGATATACGTTAATGCAATACTAATCTATGGCAGTATCATTTTTATTGACATTATTTTGCAATTGTGTCTTTCATTTTTTTTTTCAAAATTCACTCCTTTTTACATAAATTTCCATTTAAAATCCTTAAAACTCTGGTCAACCTTATTTTTTTTGGTGGCAGAACATTTTCTTTACTTCAAAGCATTATTACTACAAAATTTGAAGAAATTCTACTGAGAAATGGTGACACAATCCTATTACCTTAAGCATGTTAGTGCGTTATGATTATTTGTCTGCAATCTTGTTCCATGTTATAGGACCATAACACAGAACCGAATGCTTATATTTACATTTAATATTTTTAATTTTCATTTCTAAGTTCACAACACACTTTTACATTCAAATTTCACTGTGTTTGTTCAATAGGTTTAACAGCACATGGAATTGCTCACGGAATGTTGTCTTGTGACTTTCCCCGTAAAAAAAATAAGTTTTTGGAAATGAACACAAAAAATATCGATACAATTTCCATAATTTAGTCAATTAATATATTCATTTCACATTTTATAATAATCTTACATAAAACAGTGAATTTGTCACAATTTTGTTTATTTACCTATAGACAAGAAACAATTTGTTTATTTACCTATAGACAAGAAACAATTTGTCATAATTTTGTTTTTTAACCCCACCCTGTCTCAGTGCTGTTTGACTCGTGGTTGCTATTTTGTTTTTATTAGATTGCCATATATATATTTATGTAGATGTTCAATTGTTTTTGATATTATCTTTGACCAAATAAACATTGAATCCTTTTACTAATCCATAGTAATGAAGTATCTGTTGTTATTTTTCCCTTTTAATAGTTTCATCGGGAATGATCTATCAAAATGCCTTCTACCTTCACATTAAATTAACCCTTTCACCACTGTAGACCAAAATGTAAAGTTACATGGGATGAAAGGGTTAACATTTCATAGACAGTCTTTCAATTATCATTGAAATTTTGTATTAACTTGTGTTTGTAGAAAACAACAAATAAACTCTCTGTATAACAAGTAATGATGTTCGTTTTTCCTAAACAGTTGATATTCTGGAAAAATTTAGACCTGCATACTTTAACTGTTAGTATGGCCTTGTGTTTCATGATAAATAGGAAATGGGCCGTTTGGTCGAGTGGTCAACACTCCGGCCTTCAACGCAGGCGGCCGGGGTTTGATCCCCAAAGTCGTCGTACGCATGGAATATTCAGAGAAAGTGTTTTTCTGCTGCCCACACAACTCCAACAACCCAGGTGGAGTATGAAATGGTCTGGGGGGATGTTGTGGTATCTGTGCTATGGCATTCAAGTGATCAGGTGGCAGTATAAATGATACCGTTGGAAGTACGGTCCCACTACAAATAGAACACATTATATCTCCAGCACACATGCAGGCATACACACTTAGGGAGATATTAGCCATGTGGCATAGGACTAGTAGTAAGCGCCTGATAAGGCAGCTCCTGCGAATTCCTCAATATTGTATTGATTAATGTATACACTAATTGTATCATTTGTATATCTATGTACCGTAAAGCGCTTTAGAGTGGCTTATGTTAGCCATATAGGGCGCTATATCAAATGTTGTATATTATCAAAATAGGAAATGCCTACTGCCTGAAATGATGTACAGGTACATGTACAATAACTTGAATCCTAAAGGTCAATACAGTGATATCTGTCCATAAAGGTCACTCAATGGAGGACAATAAGTATTTAAAGATGGGTGGTCTTTATAAACAGGTGGTCTTTATAAACAGATTTTTTATGAAATAGAAAACACAATTTGGGGTATTCTTTATATGGTTGCTATAGGAAAAAGGTCTTTAGAGACACTGAGACAGGTGGTCTTTAGGGACAGGTTGTCCTTAAAGAGAGGTTGTCTTTTGGTAGATTTCACTGTACATGAAAAAATAAAACACTGTAGCTGCTCTGTGGTGTTTTGAGGCCTTTAATACTTTGTAATGTCTACAAGGTAAGGGTCTCGATCCAATACGATTCAGCATCAACAAGAAAGCACGGTCACAATACTTAACGAGAGTTACTTATCTCCATTAACACTTGTAACCAACAGGTACCACCCGTAATACATATTGGTCCGCGGGAATATGACACGTTAACATTTAGCTGTTGGAAGCAATCCCAATGTCAATCTTAGATATCCTGACAGGTGTAACTGTTGTAATGATGAAAAGTTTACCAACAAATAGATGGAGCAATCGTTGCCAGACAAACACACCACAAATATCTGCCGAGGTCGGTGATTTCCAACTCTTGTCACCAGGTACCTTAGCCCATTCACCACTGTAGACCATATCAATGCATGGTAATTTCTACTAATGTTACATAGGGCCTTAAAAAGTCTGTAAAGTTTTCTGACATTTGATTTCTTTACATTTGAAAACTCGTGATAATGTCTCACTATTTTTTTTTAAACTTTTGCAATTTCTCAAATATTGTAAAAAGTTTCTTTACAAAGACACAATTTTTTTATTTTGCTTATGTGAGAAATATGGTCTCATCCTTGCGTTTTTTCTGTACGACAGTGCCAGGCTTGTGCTGGGCATCGGGGTGGTTGGCCAGCTCTGGCGGACATGACGAGATGGGACTAGCCATGATAGTCTGTTTCAAGTCATAGAACACGGCGGAATTTTCCTGAGTCAGGAAGGTCACTGCAATACCGGTCTTACCAGCCCGTCCAGTTCTACCGATACGATGAGTGTAATCTGAAAAACAGATGCAATAAACTTGTTTATACTGGAATATTCATTGTAGTGGTGCTTTAGCTGTGTACTTGCACTGAAACTGAGAAATGATCGGTACTGTCCTAGCTAGTGGGGTATTGATTGCTCCAAGCCCCTTCCACCTCTATATATAGAGGATCTTTCATAAGTTTCCCTTCAAATTAGGTAAGGCGAGCAAATACGAAAAATCTATAATGAGTATCATCAATCTAAGATGACGGGAAAGGAATATTTTGCACTTGGTCGCCTCTGAAACGATGAAAATGGCGTCTGTTTCACAATGACTTGACGTCACATTGATTGTTCCTTTTTGATTGTGACGTCATTTCCTGAGTGATATGACACACGTTACTTTGTTAAACATAATTTATGTGATGACTTTATGACACTGCATAACGGTTTTCATATGATAAAATAAAGTATCTTTTTAACAACAAATACAGGCTATGAAGAGTGTTTATTAGTGATCATGTCTATCGAGAAACCCCAAAAACATGTGAGGGGTAGTCTTTAGGACTTGTCACTTAGTTTTGTGATGAATGTTTTTATGTTGATAAAGAAAGGAACATGAAGGGAAACTTATGACAGATCCTCTATTTCTTATTATATTATTATTAAGCTTGCCTTTCAAAATGTCAAATTATCCGTTATATTGTCAACCTCCGAAACCTCCAAAAAGGGAGAGTGAACTGAGGGAGAAAGTGTGTGAAACGCGACTGTTATTGCTTTGCTCAATTTATCTTTCCCTTTTAGGTATCAAGATAACTCCAAAAAGCATTCATTTGATCATGCACACCCTGCAGTTGACAGCTTATGTATTTTCCATAATCAAACAACAGTTTTTCTGTTTGATGTGAAGCTAGAACTGGATTTAGGAAAATCACCAGTGATAAATTTGGAAAATGACATTGCCATAGAGTGAAATTTGTACTCTCTTACCAGGACTTTTCGTTTAAATGATAGAACACCGTAACGATTGCCTCGTATGTAGTTATGTAGTAAAGTAATTGTGCCTAGATTTTGTTTTTATATTTTACAAATATTCTTTTTTTTTTTCGAACTGAAAAAAGCTTCAATCCCATAAGAAAAGAGTTGAATTTTCGCAAAACCACAACAAGTAACATTTGTTTTACAATATAAATGGTGATTATTTCTATTTAAACATATTTTATTGCCATTATGCAACTGGATTGGGCACAATTAAGTTATACAACTTATATACAGCCCTTTCCATAAAAAATACAACAAAATTACAAAGAGTGTCCATACCTTCTATACTTTTGGTCATGTCGTAGTTTATCACCATGGAAACATCTTTGATGTCGATACCACGTCCTGCCACATTCGTTGCCACTAGGATATCCTTGCTGCCGTTTTTCAGACTAGCCAGAGCGAACTCCCTCTGCTCCTGGCCTTTCCCTCCGTGGAGTGTGATAGCACTATACTGTGTAGTAGAGAAAACAAACTGTGTTCTTCAAACTTACAACACAGGCTTTTACCCCTTTCACCACTGTAGACCATAATGGATTTATCCCTGCCTATTTCCCACAATACTAATCTATATGATTTATTCTCTCTTTGCATTTTCAAAGCCTGAAATCTCTATCTTTTGGTCAGCCTAGCATGTCATACGTACCTCTGACTACTTTAGGCACTCTACTGAGCCTGTTTAATCATTGTAAGGAATTATTGGGTGTTAGACAAGGAGATGCACATAAGTCCTTGTACTCCAAAACACAAGAAAGGGCGTTTTTCAAGTAAAAAGGCATTGTAGGATAAGTATGAAACTTTCACAAATTAAATATCATCATATAACCAATATCTTTGCCAAGTTGCATGCTTATCCCCAAATGCCTTTTATGTACAATCAGCCCTTATTATTGGAAATAGGCAGAACAAATGATAAAACAATAAAATGTGTTAGTTGTGACGATTAAAACCAATATTTTCCTTGAGGCTAGGAGACTTAACATTACCAGCAAATCAAACTTCATACATTAAGGCAGAAATCATTCTACAGTAGTTGCAGTGGAAATTGCCATTTTTTATTTGTAAGTTAACTTTGAAAAGTAAGAAAACAAATCAGGACCTGGAACTCACTCCAGCCACAAGTGTTGAGCAAATATATGATATATATAATATACAATATTAACTATTCGTATCTTATACTTATAGCATATAAAGGGTGTCCTGCACCTTTTAATTCACTTAAGATTGAGAGATATTGCCAGGTTTCTCAGTATAAAACAAAAAGAAAGTGTGAAGTGAATATGCATTTTATGTAAGTGTACTCAAATGAGTAAAGTTGTAAATTTCAACCAAAATATAAATTAGAAAGGAAAATATTGAGAAAACAAAACACTTTTCATTTGAAAAATTACCTTAAACAACCCCCCTAGAGGGACTTAACCCTCTGTTTTATATAAACAATCTTTAATTGATGATTTAATCAAATAATTTCTGTCATTTTTTATTCTTTTAAATATGCCTGTTTAATTTACACATGTTTTTAAAACAGAAATAGTACAATTTTGGATTTTAAGCTCATTTTTATAACAGCAAATTATATTTGTGATTTACCCATACCCCTTTTGGTACCCCCAAAAACCCTCTTTCGGTCAAACTTTTACCTTAGTTTTTGTGCATGTAATACAATAGGACATCTTTGAACAAATTAAGGAGGTGAAAATCCGAAGATACCGGGGCCCAAAAAAGGACCTTATAGACACTCATCCTTTGGAAAAACCATCAGGGTAAGATCTGTCCAGGATAAGAAAGGGGTGTAGGAAATTTCTATCTTACACCCCGTTTCATGTGACGTGACGTCACAATGGCTCGACAATGACATGACGTCACAAATTGGAACTCTCCGATGCCGCACGGAAAAGGCGGCGGGATGAAATTAAAAACCTTTTACGATATATTTACCATTCACGTTAGAAAGATGTGATTAATTTTCCTGCGCAAACTCTTTTTACCAATATGGGATATGCTTAATCCGGCTGGCTGATTCGTTTTTCGTCTAAAATGCTCAGGAGCAAAATTGATATTTTCAAAATGGTGGTCAGTCCAAATGCATTTTCATGGTTTCTGAACTTATTCTGGTGGATGGAATTTGAGAAAAATACTCTTTCATGCCCAAGGGTGTAGGATAGAAATGGAATTTCCCTATCCGACACCCCTGACCATTAAAGAGTCTTATAATCTTACCCCCATCTTCTCCAGGGACTTAGCCAGGACATCCGCGCCCTTCTTTTGGTTGACGAAGATGATGATTGGAGGGTCGATGCCCTCTTCTAGGATGTTGAGAAGTTTCTTCCTCTTCATGTTGCTAGAGACCATGTGTACAATCTGTTCTGTCCTCTCCGTGGGACGACCAGCAGATCCGATGTACACAACAGCGGGCCGCCGCAGGTAGGTACGTGCCAACCGCTCCACGGGAGGGGGCATGGTAGCCGTGAACATAACCGTCTGTAAAACCACAAAAATATACATGTTAACGTATTTCCTCTATTTATAGGGGAATGTACATTTTTGTGGTAATATGTGCAGCAAGTGAATTTGGTGACTACCGTAAAGATTCGCGTGTTGTTCACCCTCGTGTATAGATTGCAAGTACTTTTTGGTTGAAAACAAAAATGAAAAAGATTTCTTGAGATTTTTTTTCTGGAAACAAGCCATTTGGATTGATATGTCTTGCCTATGCCCCGCTTTGACCATCAATGCACATATCAGAGAAACTAACTTAAACGCAAAAACTTAATGCTGATGGAGATGCTGACAAAGTCAATGGACCATAAAAGGTAGGCCACATCCAGCAGCTGATGCATGGGTTGAGATGTACTACCTAAGATGTATCTATGGTCCAAGTTTGGTTGGTCTAGCACCTATACTTTCAGTGAAATTAACTTAAATGAAAAACTTAATGTTGACACTGACGTCGCCGGGAAAGCAACACCTAATATACTTAGTTTCGTTTCCACTTCGCTGAGGCGAGACAAACATTTTAAGCTGGACTGATAGCACCAACCAGGTAGGTCACTAACGAAGGTCAACTAAATATGTTGGGAAAACAGATCACACGAAACCTAATCGTTAATTGGGCCTAACAAGGTGTTGCTAGACACTATGAGTACGGGGAGATCTGTTGACACCAGGCATTGACACAACAGGTAATTGGAATATAACAATATTGCTTTCACAACAATAACTCTCAGAAAGCATATTTACCGATAAATCTTTCACCTTTTTATAAAATATATGATTCTAAGTTGTTTTCTAAGCGTCTGCTAATCCAACAGCAATGTCATTAGAGTGTACACATAAAGGCAGTCACTCAAATAAGTCCAATGACGACCGCAAACAGCTGAAATTGTGAGACGTAACGACTCCAAACATTGGTGACATTAGCTTTTCTGTCTTTGAAAAGAAAATACTGATTTGAATTTAACTGTTAAACAGGGACAATTGTTGTAGATAGGCAGTTGTACTGACCTGTCTGTATTTTTTTGTAGTGTTGAAATTTTTCAACATTTTCTCGTCATCCTCTGCATCATCATTGTCAGGTTTCATGTTAGTAACGGGTAGGTACTCAAGAATGCGCTGTACATCGGGCTCGAAGCCCATGTCGATCATTCGGTCAGCCTCGTCCATGACCAGATAGGTACACTGATTGAGAACGAGGTAACGATTCTCCAACACATCAATTAGACGCCCTGGGGTGGCTATCACAATCTACAAACATACACGTACCAATCATTGCTATGGAAATACCTTCAAAACAATGCTGGTCCAGTTACAAGCTTTCTGCTGAAATAGACTCTGGATTAATGAGGATTTACTATTAATATCTACAAACATACAAGTCAAACCTGTATTAGGAGACCACCAGCCAGAAGTCCAAATAGTGGTCTCCTAATAACAGGTGGTCTCTGTACACAGGTTCAAATCACAATGAAATCACTACAATGTCAAACATTAAAATTGGTCTCTTAACACATGTACAGGTGGTCTTCTAATACAGGTGGTCTCTAAACACAGGTTCAAATCACAATGAAATCGCTACAATGTCAAACATTAAAATTGGTCTCTTAACACATGTACAGGTGGTCTTCTAATACAGGTGGTCTCTAAACACAGGTTCAAATCATAATTAAATAACTATAATGTCAAACATTTAAATTGGTCTCTTAACACAGGTGGCCTCTTAATACAGGTTCTGTTCATAATTGGAATATTAAGTAAGCATGTTTGACAGTACAATTACTGCTGTTGAATTTTTTCTACAGAATGATGGTCAGAATTTTGAATATCTGGGTGAATACACCTTGGATAAGGATTTCCTGTAGATAAGTGAGGCTTGTTACGTATTCTCGGTTACAGTGACCTACCTCACATCCCTGTTGGAGCTTGAATCCCTGCTCCTCCCTTGAGATACCTCCTATTATGGCTACTGTACGAATACCCAGGAACTCGCTAAACTTCATTGTCTCTGCCTCAATCTGCTGAGCCAGTTCACGAGTCGGAGCCAGGATGATAGCATAGGGACCCTGATCAGCATCTTCCATCCTACAAGCAAATTCGGTAAGATAAGAGGCTGAAAAAACATGCGTTGTAGCTTCTAGCAAGTGCAAATTTGACAGACAGATGACAGGTATTGCACCTTTGGGCAGAGGGGGTAACTAATCTTGTAAAGTCAGAAGGTAAAAACACTCGCCACGCTTCTTGTACTAGAAGTTAAGTGAAAAATTGACAGATGACGAGTCATCTAGAGGCGGCACCTTGGAACAGGTGAGCTAACTAATCGTGAAAATGATCAGCTTGTAGTCACAGTTTATAATGGCCGTCCTATTACAAAAGGTGAACAAGCCATTGGGATTAACATGTCGCGCCTGTGCCCCGCTTTGACCATCAATGCACATATCAGAGAAACTAACTTAAACGCAAAAACTTGATGTTGATGGAGATGCTGACAAAGTCAACGGACCATGAAAAGTAGGGAGCATCCAGCATTTGATGGATGGGTCAAGATTTACTACTCAAGATGCATCTATGGTCCAAGTTTGGTTGGTTTAGCACTTATACTTTCAAAGAAACTAACTTAAATACAAAAAAAGTTGACGCCGTGGTGGCAAGACAAATATCATTGCCCTGCAGACTATTTAATATCACTAATGTCATTAGAAGGGATGGCATGTATATGTAACACTAATGGAAAAAAATATTACGATATAAACTTATTTCTACAAATTTATCTGTCAATTTCACTGTCATTTCAGAGAATTTTAAACAGGAATCTTCAGAATCTTATATTAACTTTATTGACTATTTGTGTACTTTGATTTTTTTTCCCCCCCCGACTATATTAATTTAAATGAATATCTAGACATTACCTGACTATACTTTAGTGATGGGTAATTGGTTTAAAATCATAATTGATTATCAGTTTATGATAATAATAAAAACAATTTGAGGGGCTTATATACCACTTTATCACAACCTAGTTCGTAGGTCGTCTCATAGCAGTTCACAAATTATTATCCGTGGTTATATGGCCTTTGCAATCAGCCAATATCTTTCTAAACTCCATGGGGAGCATACAGCCGGTGCTGCCATTTTGGCAATCACAGCTAGCATTCTACAATTCTAGCACTGCCCAACCACATACTCATTTACAGCTGTGTAGACAGGAACAAGCGGAGTAAAGTATCTTGCTCAAAGATACAACACTATGCTGTGCCGTGACTCGAACCTGCAACCATTCGGTCATGAGCCCAGCGTCCTACCACCAGACTACCATGCCTCACAACCCTTCGGTCACGAGCCCGGCGTCCTACCACCAGACTACCGTGCCTCACAACCCTTCGGTCACGAGCCCGGCATCCTACCACCAGACTACCGTGCATCACAACCTTTCGGTCACGAGCCTGGCGTCCTACCACCAGACTACTGTGCCTCACAACCCTTCGGTCACGAGCCCGGCGTCCTTCCACCAGACTACCGTGCCTCACAACCCTTCGGTCACGAGCCCGGCGTCCTTCCACCAGACTACCGTGCCTCACAACCCTTCGGTCACGAGCCCGGCGTCCTTCCACCAGACTACCGTGCCTCACAACCCTTCGGTCACGAGCCCGGCGTCCTTCCACCAGACTACCGTGCCTCACAACCCTTCGGTCACGAGCCCGGCGTCCTTCCACCAGACTACCGTGCCTCACAACCCTTCGGTCACGAGCCCGGCGTCCTTCCACCAGACTACCGTGCATCACAACCCTTCGGTCACGAGCCCGGCGTCCTACCACCAGACTACCGTGCCTCACAACCCTTCGGCAACGAGCCCGGCGTCCTTCCACTAGACTACCGTGCCTCACAACCCTTCGGTCACGAGCCCGGCGTTCTACCACCAGACTACCGTGCCTCATAACTCTTCTGTCACGAGCCCGGCATCCTACCACCAGACTACCATGCCTCATAACTCTTCAGTCACGAGCCCAGCCTCCTACCACCAGACTACCGTGCCTCACAACCCATCGGTCACGAGCCCGGCGTCCTACCACCAGACTGTTAGTTTAGTTAGTTTAGTTAGTTTAGTCAGAACTAGTAAACTAATTGATGATCTTTTGTATCATCAGTTTATAATTTTTACCAGACTAAATACTGAAGTAAGTGACAACATTATCGTAACATGATTTACATCCACACACAGAATTTCGTGCTATACATTTTAGCCTTCCTTCTTTTACAAACAACATTAATTACGCAGTTTTAAACTGTTTTTTTCGACATCGACATAAAAAATACAATAAAAATAATTAAAAATAAACCCACTTCCAATGCATATTTTGTTGCCATATGACACTTGAGTTCAGTGATGAAAAGATTAAATCATTTGTAGATTTCATATTTTATGAGCGGTGGCCAAGTGGTTATAAGGTGTCTGCCATTCTGCTACCACTAGCCCTCTACCACTGGGTCGCGGTTTGAGACCTACGTGGGGCAGTCGCCAGGTACTGGCCACAGGTTGGTGGTTTTTCTCCAGGAACTCCGGCTTTCCTCAACCACCAAAACCTGGCATGTCTTTAAATAACCATAGCTGTTATTAGGACGTAAAACACAAACAAACCAAACCAAAAATTCCAAATTGTAAAGGGCAACCGATTTTTGGTTTTCAATTATATTCTATCATCGGTCCATCACGACTTTGTATTTACCTGACAATTTTTGGAAGTGACTGAATCCACTTGATTAGAGGGATGAGGAAAGCAGCGGTTTTACCACTGCCAGTTTCAGCGATACCAATGATGTCACGGTTCTGTAGACCAATGGGAATGGCTTGTCTCTGGATAGGGGTCGGCTCCTGTGAGAATAACGAAAATATTTTCAGACGGAGATCATTTCTAGCAACTTAAAAACCAGGTTTGCCAAAGCTTTTGATACATTTCTTACAATTGAAATTCTTTTTTGACTTTTCATTGCCAATTCATACTGGAAAATTTGTGAAAAATTGCAATTTTTTCTGGTGTTTTCAATAAATGGTTGAATTTGTCTCTAAATATTTCTATGGAAAGATAACATTGCCTATTTAGAAAAAAAATAAAAAAAATATTGATTTCTAGATGAAAATTACAAATGGACAGTTGACCTAAAGACACACTATCTCTTTTGTGAAAAGCAGTGGTTGCTTGACCTGCTTTTAACATTTAGAACAGATAGCAATTTGTCATTAATTAAGCAAAACTTACATTTTCATAGGGTATAGATGTACTACCCAAGGTGCATCTATGGTCCAAGTTTGGTTGGTCTAGCACTTATACTTTCAGAGAAACTAACTTAAACACAAAAACCTAATGTTGACGCCAGCGTCGCCGGAAAAGCCACACCTAAGTCTCACTTCCACTACAATAAAATGGACTATATCTTTTCCCATGAAACCTGATCATACCTTGTACCCAATCTTGTCGATGACGTCGAGGAGTTCCTTCATGAGAGCCGACTCCTTCCAGTTCCTGATGGGGTTAGGGATACGACCACCCTTACAGGTAATATTGTAATCCTCCTTAAATATACGCCAGTCCCTCTCAGCCATCTCTGGCAGAGATTTCTCCTTCCAGTGGCGGTCATCCCACTTCTGTTTCGCCTCTTTTTTTGCGACATTCTTAACCCTCTTCCTGAAATAACAGATTTATGAATCATTTCTGATAATGTTACAGTATTTAAACAGAGTGTGCAAATCAATGTTAAGTGGTAACAGGATCACCAGCCTTATTTGAGATCTATGATGTGAACACAAGAGAAAATACGTCAGAAACTGGAGGCAAATAACTCAAATCAAACACCTACAGTTAAGAATCAAACGCTGCCAAGTACAGAGTAGTAATCCCATCTAGGTGCTTCAAATGCTTAATTTGCTCATTAATACAATAAGGACTTAAAACGCACAAGTAACCATGAGACTAACAGTTTCCGGACATACACAAGTTCTGGGATCAATCTAGGCTTGGTTCACTACCGTTTATGGGTAGTTTCTCCTACTGAAGAAAATTTCTCTGTGCTTCGAAATTCCCCTACTTCAACAAGGAAATAGCGATTTTTCTTCAAAATATTTCCCCTATATGTTTTTCTTTAAAGTTCAACAGTTAAAATGCATAGTACTGCATATATACATTTTCTTCACATAATTTAAACAAAAATTCTACTATTTTAAGCTTAAAATTGTTTATAAATTGTAATATACCGCAAACATGTATGTCGGACAAAACATTTATCTTTTACCATCATGATGCTAGACCCTAGTATTTTTTTTTTTTAATTTCCCTCAAATCTGAAAAAGGGTAGATTCCCCTAAAACCTAGATTGATCCCTGACAAGTGTACACTGTCAAACCAACTTGTAGGCCAAATTTTCAGGTATTGTTTTAGACCACTGTCCAGAAAATAATAAAATGACAGTTAATGAACTTTTCAACGGGATTGTTTTGAAAGAAACATGATGATGGGGTTTTTCTAAACGACAGATCCTCCTGATATAATCAGGTATTTAAATGACAGATGTTTGTAATGAAAGAGATTTAATTTATAGTATCAATGTACTAACAAGGATATTTAGTTAATTCAATGAAAGCAACAAATTCTGAAAAACAGAATTGCTTCTACATGTAGTTTTTAATTTAATAAAAATTGATTGTAAGCTAAGTGGTTTATGTCAACTTAAATTGGCCTATTGTATAACATGGAATGTTCGTTGTGTATAAACATTCGTGGATTTCGTGGTTGCTATTGAACCACGAAAATAAGTACAACAAATTTGAATGATATACGTGACTTCTATTTGTAAATATAGGACATCCATGAAAGTTTGTACCACGAAACGATCTAAACGGCTTCAAACCACGAAGGAAAGTATCCATGAACATTTCGTGTTATACAGTAAATGCATTATTTTTTAATATGAAAACTATTTGTCATTTCTGTATATTAACTCATTCATCCCTGAAATTTCATAATGAACTATTCCAACCTTTGAATTGGAAGAGTTCAAATGTGTCTTCAGGGGGTGACTGAGTTAAATGTATATCTATTGATATATATTTAAAACACCTATACATTTTGTTAGTCTATAACCCAATACTGCTAGTAGATATCTTAGGCACTCGCAATGATTCGTTAGTGATGAAAAAAGTTAAATTTGACTCGTGCTAGCTGAAAGACAAATTAATACTTTTATTTAAGAGTAAGTATCACACTGGACAGATCCATTTTCACAAATCTGATCAGACTTACTTTTCTTGTTCCTTTTCCCCATCGGTTCTTCTCTTTTCTAACAAGTCGCCATAAAATTTGGACTGGTCAACTTTTTGTTGCTGTAATAAAAACAAGTACGCAACTTAAAACAGTTAGTACAAGTCTAAACTGTATTTCTTTATTTTTAGCTTGATCATGCATATACAAATTAGATATATACAAATAGAATAGGACCGGGAAATAAGTTTTGAAATCTTATAGTAATTAACTTCCTTAACCCTTTCACCCCTATGTAACTTCAGTAGACTCTACCATTCATTGATCTGGATGAATCCATTATGGTCTACAGTGGTGAAAGGGTTAATTTAAAATGAAGGTGTAATAAATGTGAAGAATACAATATGCACTGCTAGAATTTAAATAGTATTTCTAACATTTACTGACATATGGCAATATCAATACAATATTGATACAGAGGCAGAAATATATGTCAAACTTACATAAGATAGGCAGATGAAGGAAACAATCAAAACACATATTTTATGTAATTTTTTTGTGCAAATAAGAAAAGATTTCACGGTTCACCTATTTATTTAAATACACAGTTTTCACTTTTAACAGCCAAATGCTGCTGTAGAGAACATAATTTTCCCCCATATTAGAACAAGAGGCCCATGGGCCTTAACGGTCACCTGATATATTTATACAGAGAGTTGATTTTTGTTTTTAAAACATGAACAGAAATATTATTCAAAGTGACAAAAAACAAAACCACCTTATTCAATATCTAGCATACATATTTAAGACTGAAAAGTATTTGAAACTAGCACCTCTGATTCTAAACAAGGAAAATGAAGAAATTTTATCACACTGACTTCTTTGGGCCTCCCCCTACAGCCCTTGGAGGTAGAGCTGGCTCAAAATTTTCAAAGTATCAAACTGTCAACTCAGGGTTATAATTCCAATTTTCAATCAAGTCATCAACATGTAATATCCAAAGTATCATTTGCCATTATAAACCATATTAAATTTGTTAAGAAGTTGAAAATGTAAATTGTTTACGGACCCACGCTGGACGACGCACGACGCCGGACAAAAGGCGATCGCAATAGGTCACTTGAGACTATGTCTCAGGTGACCTAAAAACAGTTTCTCCTTTTTGCATATCTCCAGCACCAACTTTCAAAAAGAATTGTTTGCTCAAAATATTTCATACCTGTTACTTATTTGCATTCCACGAGTCTCAGAATTCATGAATGAAATACATTTAAACAATTCAGATGGTCATTTATTTCGTTAAAAACTGGACAAATAAACAGAAAAATATTTTGTAGAAAAAGTGGAAAATATTTCAAAACAACCCCAATTTAATAAAGGATTTGATGCAGATGTAATAGAACCTGGGTCGTGAAATTAAAAAACCCATTTCGTACCTTCATATCAATACCTCCCACTTGGCCACGGCCAAAAAACTGTATGGAGTGTTTCTCCTTGTAAATAGGATTGTAGTCCTGAGAGGTGTCGTCACCCGCATCCCAGTCAAACACGAACTTACGGTCGTTCAGGCGACGCACACGTCGTTTCTTCTTGATGATTCCCAGGTAACGCTCCTGTAAATTGCAAAGATTTAAAATTGAATTCAAGCTTGTGTTGACTGACAATCGCCCAGAAAACATTGATATGCTCCCATATAGGTCACAGTGACCTACATTTGATATATTGGCGGAAGACTCCTAGGTCAGGGTTAACTTTCACTAGCTAACAAAGTTTCGGAATTGATTATGGAAATATTGATCTGTCTAGCATTATTTGTCAAGATATTCCAGCAGTCTAGTGCTCTAAATGTAGAGTTGAAACTCCTGAAGATGTATCCAGACTAGGGCTGGAATGGGTAACTGAGTACCAAGTTGTGTTTCGGTTACTGGAATGGGTAACTGAGTACCCAGTTGTGTTTCGGTTACTGGAATGGGTAACTGAGTACCCGGCTGTGTTTCAGTTACTGGAATGGGTAACGGAGTACCCGGTTGTGTTTCGGTTACTGGAATGGGTACCTGAGTACCCGGTTGTGTTTCGGTCACTGGAATGGGGAACTGAGTACCTGGCTGTGTTTTGGTTACTGGAATGGGTAACTGAGTACCCGGCTGTGTTTCGGTCACTGGAATGGGTAACTGAGTACCCAGTTGTGTCTCGGTCACTGGAATGGGTAACTGAGTCCCCGGTTGTGTTTAGGTTACTGGAATGGGTAACTGAGTACCCGGTTGTGATTCGGTTACTGGAATGGGTAACTGAGTACCCGGTTGTGATTCGGTTACTGGAATGGGTAACTGAGTACCCGGCTGTGTTTCGGTCACTGGAATGGGTAACTGAGTACCCAGTTGTGTTTCGGTCACTGGAATGGGTAACTGAGTACCCAGTTGTGTTTCGGTTACTGGAATGGGTAACTGAGTTCCCGTTTGTGTTTCGGTTACTGGAATGGGTAACTGAGTGCCCGGTTGTGTTTCGGTCACTGGAATGGGTAACTCAGTACCCAGTTGTGTTTCGGTTACTGGAATGGGTAACTGAGTGCCCGGTTGTGTTTCGGTCACTGGAATGGGTAACGGAGTACCTGGCTGTGTTTTGGTTACTGGAATGGGTAACTGAGTACCTGGCTGTGTTTCGGTTACTGGAATTGGTAACTGAGTACATGGTTGTGTTTCGGTTACTGGAATGGGTAACTGAGTACCCAGTTGTGTTTCGGTTACTGGAATGGGTAGCTGAGTACCCGGCTGTGTTTCAGTTACTGGAATGGGTAACTGAGTACCCAGTTGTGTTTCGGTTGCTGGAATGGGTAACTGAGTACCCGGTTGTGTTTTGGTTACTGGAATGGGTAACTGAGTACCCGGCTGTGTTTCGGTCACTGGAATGGGTAACTGAGTACCTGGCTGTGTTTCGGTTACTGGAATGGGGAACTGAGTACCTGGTTGTGTTTTGGTTACTGGAATGGGTAGCTGAGTACCCGGTTGTGTTTCGGTCACTGGAATGGGTAACTGAGTACCCGGTTGTGTTTTGGTTACTGGAATGGGTAACTGAGTACCCGGTTGTGATTCGGTTACTGGAATGGGTAACTGAGTACCCGGCTGTGTTTCGGTCACTGGAATGGGTAACTGAGTACCTGGCTGTGTTTCGGTTACTGGAATGGGTAACTGAGTACCAGGTTGTGTTTCGGTTACTGGAATGGGTAACTGAGTTCCCGTTTGTGTTTCGGTTACTGGAATGGGTAACTGAGTTCCCGTTTGTGTTTCGGTTACTGGAATGGGTAACTGAGTGCCTGGCTGTGTTTCGGTTACTGGAATGGGTAACTGAGTACCCAGTTGTGTTTCGGTCACTGGAATGGGTAACTGAGCACCTGGCTGTGTTTTGGTTACTGGAATGGGTAACTGAGTACCTGGCTGTGTTTCGGTTACTGGAATGGGTAACTGAGTACCTGGTTGTGTTTTGGTTACTGGAATGGGTAACTGAGTACCCGGTTGGGTTTCGGTTACTGGAATGGGTAACTGAGTACCCGGCTGTGTTTCAGTTACTGGAATGGGTAACTGAGTACCCAGTTGTGTTTCGGTCACTGGAATGGGTAACTGAGGACCCGGTTGTGTTTCGGTTCCTGGAATGGGTAACTGAGTACCCGGTTGTGTTTAGGTCACTGGAATGGGTAACTGAGTACCTGGTTGTGTTTTGGTTACTGGAATGGGTAACTGAGTACCCGGTTGTGTTTCGGTTACTGGAATGGGTAACTGAGTACCCGGTTGGGTTTCGGTCACTGGAATGGGTAACTCAGTACCCAGTTGTGTTTCGGTTACTGGAATGGGGAACTGAGTACCTGGTTGTGTTTTGGTTCCTGGAATGGGTAACTGAGTACCCGGTTGTGTTTAGGTCACTGGGTAACTGAGTACCTGGTTGTGTTTTGGTTACTGGAATGGGTAACTGAGTATCAGGTTGTGTTTCGGTCACTGGAATGGGTAACTGCGTACCCGGTTGTGTTTCGGTTACTGGAATGGGTAACTGAGTACCCGGCTGTGTTTTGGTTACTAGTACTATCTGGTTATTTTCAATAAGATTCATCAGTTTGAAAATATTTGATATCAAAGATTTACTTTCTACACAAACAATGTACGTAACAAACGTGTCGCAATGTTTCAAGACCGAATGGTCCCTTTGTCAAGCTATGACTGAGTGAGTGATTTGAATTTTTACCTGAACAACGATGTGACGAAATTGTATATTTTTCATGTCACTCGACCCGAGACGTTTCGCCTATCGATAGGGAGCATATACACACTGCATCAGATAAGTTACAGGTAGGGTGTAGATCTCGCCCCTCCCCTGTTATGTCAGTATCGGGTCATACAGATGGCTCAGCTGGTGATCCCCTCGTTTCTGTTCATGTTCTGAATTTTCCTGATTTTGATGGTTTCTTTGATTTGTCTCGTTTTTGTGTGTTTATGTGTTGTTCCCTTTCAACTATCTTGGCATTGTCCCAATCGACGATGAGATTTTGGGTGTTAGCGTGATCTGTTAATGCCGATTTATTGTACTGGGTGGCAGATGTTTTGCGTGTGGATCTGGTGAATCTAATGTTACTATTAGGTTAGCAAATCTACGTACCCGGAAACTGTCTCAAAATGAAGGTCAATATTTATTGATTTTCCCGGTCAGAAATGTCGCTCCTGACTTCTGGTTGACAGACCTCGAAAAAACTTGTGATGTGTATATTTGCTATACCATGTGCATGTATACAATAAACTTTGAATGTTGACTGACATTCTGTTGAACAATGTATCTTATTATTATTCACCGGCAGCTATCGTCTGTGTTTGCAACGTTTTACAACAGTATATACAAGGAATAGATATTGTGTTATCTTTGTTTATGCATTAAGCTATAGTGAATTAAATAATCATTTTTTTATCAAAACAAGGGCCAATGGTGGCTCTATTTCATGGCACAAATAAAATCAGTTAGACGATTTTAAATTTATTGTAAGTCAAAATATGAAAAATTCCACATTTCAAAATTCCTACTGTCACAGGATTCCCTGAAATCCCACAATGAAAGAGATTGTTCGTGCTTATTTAGATATTAGGTAATGGGTAACGGGGACCAAGGTGACGGGTATATAGGTATAGGGTACCAAGGTAACGGGTACTAAGGTATAGTGTACCAAGGTATAGGGTACCGAGGTAACGAGTACCAAGGTATAGGATACCAAGGTATAGGGTACCAAGGTAACAGGTACTAAGGTATAGGGTACCGAGGTAACGAGTACTAAGGTATAGGTACTGAGGTAACAGGTACTAAGGTATAGGGTACCGAGGTAAGGGGTACTAAGGTATAGGGTACCAAGGTAAGGGTACTAAGGTATAGGGTACCGAGGTAACGGGTACTAAGGTATAGGGTACCGAGGTAACGGGTACTAAGGTATAGGGTACCGAGGTAAAGGGTACTAAGGTATAGGGTACCGAGGTAACGGGTACTAAGGTATAGGGTACCGAGGTAACGGGTACTAAGGTATAGGGTACCGAGGTAACGGGTACTAAGGTATAGGGTACCGAGGTAACGGGTACTAAGGTATAGGGTACCGAGGTAACGGGTACTAAGGTATAGGTACTGAGGTAACAGGTACTAAGGTATAGGGTACCGAGGTATAGGGTACCAAGGTATAGTGTACTAAGGTATAGGGTACTGAGGTAACAGGTACTAAGGTATAGGTACCGAGGTAACAGGTACTAAGGTATAGGTACTGAGGTAACAGGTACTGAGGTATAGGTACCGAGGTAACGGGTACCAAGGTATAGGGTACCAAGGTATAGGGTACTAAGGTATAGGGTACCGAGGTATAGGGTACCAAGGTATAGGGTACTAAGGTATAGGGTACCGAGGTATAGGGTACCAAGGTATAGGGAACCAAGGTATAGGGTACTAAGGTATAGGGTACCGAGGTAACGGGTACTAAGGTATAGGGTACCGAGGTAACGGGTACTAAGGTATAGGGTACCGAGGTAACGGGTACTAAGGTATAGGGTACCGAGGTAACAGGTACTAAGGTATAGGTACCTAGGTAACAGGTACTAAGGTATAGGATACTGAGGTAACGGGTACTAAGGTATAGGGTACCGAGGTAACGGGTACTAAGGTATAGGGTACCTAGGTACCTATACCTTAGTTCCTGTTCCCTAGGTACCTATACCTTAGTACCGAGGTAATGGGTACTACGGTATAGGTACCGAGGTAACGGGTACCAAGGGAACGGGTACTAAGGTATAGGTACTGAGGTAACAGGTACTGAGGTATAGGGTACCGAGGTAACCGGTACTAAGGTATAGGGTACCAAGGTGTAGTGTACTAAGGTATAGGGTACTGAGGTAACAGGTACTAAGGTATAGGCACCGAGGTAACAGGTACTAAGGTATAGGGTACCGAGGTAATGGGTACTAAGGTATAGGTACCGAGGTAACAGGTACTAAGGTATAGGGTACCGAGGTAACGGGTACTAAGGTATAGGTACCAAGGTAACGGGTACCAACTAGTCCAGCTATTACCATTGTCACGATTGTAACATATTTGTTCAAGTCTTTTTCAAAAAAACCCATCCCATAACAATATTGCTCCGTCTTCTATAGAAAAGAGAATACTAAAAGTAGGGCTGCAACGGTTAGAAAAAATACTAAGGTATAAAAATGCCACTGGGATAACCATGTGTGCTTATCAGAACCGAAACCGGGTAACTGTATTTTCTTGTGCAATGAAATACGGAGACCAATGGCTCTTTACTTTACTTTACTTCGCTTGTTCCAGTCCACTCAGCTGTAAATGAGTACGTGGTTGGGCAGTGCTAGAATTGTAAAATGCTAGCTGTTAGCGCCAAAATAGCAGCACCGGCTGTATGCTCCCCAAGGAATTGAGAAAGATATTAGCTGGTTGCAGAGGCCCTATAACCATGGATAATAATTTGTGAACCTCTTTGAGACGACCTACAAACTAGGTTGTGTTTAAGCGGTATATAAGGACCTCAAATTATTATTATAATTATTATTACTATTTGTTTTGATAAAATATGATTACTTAATTCATTAAATGCATAAACAAAGATAACTCAATACTTATGTCTTGTGAATACAGTTGTAAAACATAGCAAATTCTCAAAATCGTATTTCTGCGCATCACTACCGGTCGGAGCGCACTACTACAGGTTGGAGCCCATCACTACCTGTCGGAGCGCATCACTACCGGTCGGAGCCCAACACTACCGGTCGGAGTGCATCACTACCGGTCGGAGCCCATCACTACCGGTCGGAGCCCATCCCTACTGGTCGGAGCCCATCACTACCGGTCGGAGCCCATCACTACCGGTCGGAACACATCACTACCGGTCGGAACACATCACTACCGGTCGGAACACTGACGATAGCTGCCGGTGAATGATGGGTACCATTGTTCAACAGTTTATTGTTTACATCCATTCAATAGTAAATCAAGTATACTGAATACGTGTGTTTTCGAGATCTGTCAATCAGCAGTCAGGAGCGACATTTTTGCTTGGGAAGTCAATAAATACTGACCTACATTTTGGGATGGTTTTCAGGTACATGGATTTGCTAACCGGATAGTACTCGTAACCAAACAGCAACTGGGTACTGGGTCACCCGTTCTGGTTCGGGTACTCGATCACCCGTTCTGGTTCGGGAAGTCGGTCACCCGTTCTGGTTCGGGTACTCAGTCACCCATTCTGGCTAAGATAAGATTTGGTTTACATTCATATGTTCAATATCAATGTGTATAAATATCAGTTAATATACAGTAAAACCCCACTTCCTCAAACTCAATTTACTCGAATACCCCTCATTCGTCGAACAGTTCGTTTGGTCCCAACCGAGTTCGTACATATTCTTTGTAAAGTAACCCCGGATAAGTCGAACTGTTATTCATTGAATACCCCGTGTTCCTCAAACAAAAATTTGTCCCCGACTCTTCATGGTCATATTATTAATCCTATCTATTCGTCGAACAGGTGTGACCTGTCACGCCTCATAGATATTTTATCTGTGTATCACAGGTATCGGCACTGCTGTCGACATGTCTCGAGGCACAGGCTGCGGTCCACTCTCATTGTGCTTATACAGGTGTCGGCTGGACATCAGATAATTACAGGATTAACAGCAGTATCATTAAGTAACTGTACAGTTAGCCTGTTGTAGCTGCATGATCATTTTGTGTGCATATTTATTTTTTCCAGATGATATTTTGACATCGATGATTTGTTGGAAGTGTTAATTCACTAGGTGTGTAAAACCATATTTAGACATGGCAATATTATGCGGAAATCACATAGCGGAATCCGACCAACTTTAAAGATATTCAAACTTTAATACGTCGTAATTGTTAATTTCGTTATCAATCAACATTATGATTACAAGGATTCAAGATTCTCTTCATTTTAAAATGATTGAAGGGTTCCTCTCGTTTTGATGTTTTGTAAAATAAACGTAGCCGATTACAGTATGGTGAACTATGTCGAAACGACAAGTACGTTACACATGCAGCTTTTAATTTTATTTACTTTCTTAATACAGGTGGCTATATTTTTTCATTGTTTAGCTATTTTAAATCTTATTAAATACTGTCATCTTGATTAAACTTCTTTTTTCTTCAATCATCTGCTATCTGTGATAGGTGCAGTGCTCGTACTGTCTGTTGTCCTGACTGATTAAAATTGACGTCAAATTCGTTGAACATCATGTATTCCTCGAACTATTGATCTACGAGTTCGAGTTAACAGGGTTTTATTGTATTTTAAATCTAGAGGTAATATATAATGTAACTTGTTGTAAATGTATAACAATCACTGGTGTGAAAGTTCTTCCGACTTACTGTGCGTCGTCATCAATTCCAACTACATGTATATGTGTGTGTAATGAGTGAAGTGTATACTGACGTATCTGAAATGTAATTATTATACAATTGCAGGGTAAATCATTGATGCTGATGGAATTGATGACTAAGCAGAATAGGTCGGAAGAACTCTCACACCAGTGATTGTTAATGTATTTAATTTTTCCAAAAATTCCACCACTGCTACAATCACATACCTTGATTGCCTCTGATTCCTTCTCTTTGTCTTTTCCCTCTATAACTTTAACCCTTTCACCTGTGTCCTCCCCGCGTCGGTCACGGTCGTGGTCGCGGTCACGTTCCCGCTCCTGTCTTTCCCTCTCTCGTCTCTCTCTCCGTTCACGTTCTCTCTCCCTTTCTCGGTCTCGATCATAACGGTCACCTACAGAAAAAAATACAAAAAAATCAACAAAACCAGATTGAAACTGATGGACAAGTTATTCTGTCAATATTGTTTCTATGGACAGTGTGAAGGACGGACAGCTGACTCCGGTTTACCATCCATTACTTCGACGAAGGGAGTATAACAAAATTATTTTCTTTTATACAATGACTTAATAATGCTGTTTCAAGGTTCGCCACAAGTTTCCCAGACACTGTAGGGCAAGAAAAAACTCAACAGTTCAACAGAACAAAAACGTTTTACTAAAGCGAGGTAACTTAAGTCTCTTGGATACATGATGCAGTTTTGTTGATTTATAAAAATAATAACAATAATATAATAATACGGTAAACCTTCGGTCAGTTTGAACAAAATTAAATAAATATTGTCAATCCTGTTTGAGTTACACGAAATTATTGCCACTAAAATAAAGAGTAGTTCGAACTGTCCAAGTCAACATCGGCAAAAATCACAGCAAACAGTCAAGTCATTGATACCGAACGACGACGGCCTTATTGCGATACATATTTGCAAATCTGGAGATGAATAATGGTATATATACCTTTCTTATATTTACTTACATATTGATAATCAATTTTTAAGTTCAATTGCAAAGCAGAGACAAGTAAGTAGGCCGCAAAGCAGTGGATTTTCTCTTGAGTAATGACGTAAGCTCAGTTGTACTGATCAGAATGCGGAGGGTGGATTGAAACTGCAATTACGGGTTCGATCGACCACCTGGTCAGATATTTTTGTTTTGGCAAATGTAAAGGTAATATATCAACTAAGTTATAAATCAGTGATCGGTGGCCAGGTCGCGATTATATAATCAAACTGTAATCACAGTAATATTATGACAATACGCACGTCTGTCGATAACTTTCTGCGCTCCGTGTACTGTTGGGATATTATACATGGTCGGGGCCTAAAGATGTTTGACTGGCGCGTGCACATGTTTACAAGAAAGAAACTCAATTATCGGTGACATGTGACTTATTTATGTACAAAAATGTATGACATTGATGACAACAATGGTCGCACATGTATGAGTTCTACTTGTTATTCAGTAGTTAAACACTGTCGATGCGCAAATAGATCAAGTTTAAGCGAGTTTTTGAGGCTATTATTGCATCGCCGACAGCCAACCTTAACCAATAATTACGTAAGTTCAGTACTCAAGCTGTGTGTTTGAACAATCCGAAACGTGTGTAAGCAGGGTTGAACTATCACTAGACAGAAAATTATTATTTTTATTGTTCAAAAAGTGTGTTCGTACTATCCACCATTCGAACTGACTGGAGGTTTACCGTAATAATAATTCGAGGTTTTTATATATACCGCTTTATCACAACCTAGTTTGTAGGTCGTCTCAAAGCGGTTCACAAATTATTATCAGCCAATATCTTTCTCAACTCCCTGGGGAGCATACAGCCATTGCTGCCATTTCTGCGCTCACAGTTAGCATTTTACATTTCTAGTACTGCCCAACCACGTACTCATTTACAGCTGAGTGGACTGGAACAAGCGGAGTAAAGTATCTTGCTCAACAATACAACACAGTGCCGTGACTCAAACTTGCAACCCTTCGGTCACGAGCCCGACATCCTACCGCTAAACTACCGTGCCTCCATAATTTACCGTAAGAATCTTTGCCCGCTAGCAGGAACTCCTTCTGTTTTTGTCGTTCCTCTTCAATCTTTTTCCTCTGTAAGTCCACTGCTTCCTGTCTTCTCTTCAGGGCTTCAGCAGCTCTTTCTTCTTTGGTTAAAAACTTTGGCTGAACAAAAAAACAGACAATAAATTACCTGCTTATTTTGACAATTAGTGGCATGCAGACAGAGTAACAATATCAAGAATAATATAATTTTTTGGAGTTTGAGGGAACATAATAAGCTGAAAATTGTTTTCCCTTCAGTGTCATACCTTCTGATAGAGGGCGTTGAAGTCGGGTATCGCACGTGCCGAGTGTGCAGTATGTGTGACAATAGTCGCACTGACAGTACACATGTTTTTTTTGTTTTTTTTTATTGAGAAAGGTACACACTTTTTATAAGAACTTGCGAAATTTGTAACAAATTGATGGAATGGTTTTACGTGAATTCATGATGTAGGTACAGAAATGTGATGAATGTGAGCTTATTTGATCTCTAAATACTATCAGCGATTATGCACTCCATACAATAGATAATTGAATTGTTATTTTGGTTTATGTCAGATGGTGTTGTTTTGGTTTATGTCAGACGGTGTGTTATTGGTTTATGTCAGACGGTGTTGTTTTGGTTTATGTCAGACGGTGTTGTTTTGGTTTATGTCAGACGGTGTGGTATTGGTTAATGTCAGACAGACGGTGTGGTATTGGTTTATGTCAGACGGTGGTTTTTTTGTTTATGTCAGACAGTGTTTTTTTGGTTTATGTCAGACGGTGTGGTATTGGTTTATGTCAGACGGTGTGGTATAAGTTTATGTCAGACGGTGTGGTATTGGTTTATGTCAGACAGTGTGGTATTTGCATGTTTCAGACGGTGTGGTATTGGTTTATGTCAAAAGGTGTGGTATTGGTTTATGTCAGACGGTGTGGTATTGGTTTATGTCAGACGGTGTGGTATTGGTTTGTCAGAAAGTGTGGTATTGGTTTATGTCAAATGGTGTGGTATTGGTTTATGTCAGAAGGTGTGTTATTGGTTTATGTCAGACGGTGTGGTTGTGGTTTATGTCAGACGGTGTGGTATTGGTATGTTTCAGACGGTGTGGTATTAGTTTATGTCAGACGGTGTGGTATTGGTTTGTCAGAAAGTGTGGTATTGGTTTATGTCAAACGGTGTGGTATTGGTTTATGTCAGAAGGTGTGGTTGTGGTTTATGTCAGACGGTGTGGTTGTTGTTTATGTCAGACGGTGTGGTATTGGTTTATGTCAGATGGTGTGGAATTGGTTTATGTCAGACGGTGTGGTATTGGTTTATGTCAGACGGTGTTGTATTGGTTTATGTCAGACGGTGTGGTTTTGGTTTATGTCAGATGGTGTGGTATTGGTTTATGTCAGACGGTGTGGTATTGGTATGTTTCAGACGGTGTGGTATTAGTTTATGTCAGACGGTGTGGTATTGGTTTATGTCAGGAGGTGTGGTATTGGTTTATGTCAGACGGTGTGGTATTGGTTTATGTCAGAAGGTGTGGTATTGGTTTATGTCAGAAGGTGTGGTATTGGTTTATGTCAGACAGTAGGGTATTAGTTTATGTCAGACGGTGTAGTATTGGTTTATGTCAGACGGTGTGGTTGTTGTTTATGTCAGACGGTGTGGTATTGGTTCATGTCAGACGGTGTGGTATTGGTTTATGTCAGACGGTATTGTATTGGTTTATGTCAGATGGTGTGGTATTGGTTTATGTCAAACGGTGTGGTATTGGTTTATGTCAGACAGTGTGGTATTGGTATGTTTTAGACGGTGTGGTATTGGTTTATGTCAGATGGTGTGGAATTGGTTTATGTCAGACGGTGTGGTATTGGTTTATGTCAGACGGTGTGGTATTGGTTTATGTCAGAAGGTGTGGTATTGGTTTATGTCAGAAGGTGTGGTATTGGTTTATGTCAGACAGTGTGGTATTAGTTTATGTGAGACGGTGTAGTATTGGTTTATGTCAGACGGTGTGGTTGTTGTTTATGTCAGACGGTGTGGTATTGGTTCATGTCAGACGGTGTGGTATTGGTTTATGTCGGACAGTGTGGTATTAGTTTATGTCAGACAGTGTGGTTGTAGTTTATGTCAGAAGGGGTGGTTGTGGTTTATGTCAGACGTTGTGGTATTGGTTTATGTCAGACAGTGTGGTCTTAGTTTGTCAGACGGTGTAGTATTGGTTTATGTCAGACAGTGTGGTATTAGTTTATGTCAGACAGTGTGGTTGTAGTTTATGTCAGAAGGGGTGGTTGTGGTTTATGTCAGACGGGGTGGTATTGGTTTATGTCAGACGGTATTGTATTGGTTTATGTCAGATGGTGTGGTTGTGGTTTATGTCAGAAGGGGTGGTAGTGGTTTATGTCAGACGGTGTGGTATTGGTTTATGTCAGACAGTGTGGTATTAGTTTATGTCAGACGGTGTGGTTGTAGTTTATGTCAGAAGGTGTGGTTGTGGTTTATGTCAGACGGTGTTTTTTTGGTTTATGTCAGACGGTATGGTATTGGTTTATGTCAGATGGTGTGGTTGTGGTTTATGTCAGAAGGTGTGGTTGTTGTTTATGTCAGAAGGTGGGGTATTGGTTTATGTCAGATGGTGTGGTATTGGTTTATGTCAGAAGGTGTGTTATTGGTTTATGTCAGAAGGTGTGTTATTGGTTTATGTCAGATGGTGTGGTTGTTGTTTATGTCAGACGGTGTGGTATTGGTTTATGTCAGAAGGTGGGGTATTGGTTTATGTCAGACGGTGTGGTATTGGTTTATGTCTGAAGGTGTGTTATTGGTTTATGTCAGAAGGTGTGTTATTGGTTTATGTCAGACGGTGTGGTTGTTGTTTATGTCAGACGGTGTGGTATTCGTTATGTCAGAAGGTGTGGTATTGGTTTATGTCAGACGGTGTGGTTGTGGTTTATGTCAGAAGGTGTGGTTGTGGTTTATGTCAGAAGGTGTGGTATTGGTTTATGGTGTGGTATTGGTTAATGTCAGAAGGTGTGGTATTGGTTTATGTCAGAAGGTGTGGTATTGGTTTTTGTCAGAAGGTGTGGTATTGGTTTATGTCAGAAGGTGTGGTATTAGTGGGAAATATTTTTTAAGGATCCTTGTATCACTTCTAAAAACTACACATTTTCCCCACATCATTATAGCTTTGATAGATAATTCCTAAAAAGAAAACTGTACCTTGTGAGACTTAATTCCTCAACTTTAATGAAAAAAGTACAGGTGAACTAAACAACAACAGCACAAGTAGCCGAATGTAAAACTTTAACAGGACGAGACCAGGAATCCAACCCTGGACCTCAAATTGTTATATACTGTAGCTCTTACCAACACAGCTACCTGGTCAACGGATTGTTACACTGTAGCTCTTACCAACACAGCTACCTGGTCAACGAATTGTTATACTGTAGCTCTTACCAACACAGCTACCTGGTTAACGGATTGTTATACTGTAGCGCTTACCAACACAGCTACCTGGCATTGTTATACTGTAGCCCTTACCAACCCAGCTACCTGGCATTGTTACACTGTAGCTCTTACCAACACAGCTACCTTGTCAACGGATTGTTACACTGAAGCTCTTACCAACACAGCTACCTGGTCAACAGATTGTTATACTGTAGCTCTTACCAACACAGCTACCTGGTCAACGGATTGTTACACTGTAGCTCTTACCAACACAGCTACCTGATCAACAGATTATTACACTGTAGCTCTTACCAACACAGCTACCTGGTCAACGGATTGTTATACTGTAGCTCTTACCAACACAGCTACCTGGTCCTCAGATTGTTATACTGTAGCTCTTACCAACACAGCTACCTGGTCCTCAGATTGTTATACTGTAGCTCTTACCAACACAGCTACCTGGTCCTCAGATTGTTATACTGTAGCTCTTACCAACACAGCTACCTGGTCCTCAGATTGTTATACTGTAGCTCTTACCAACACAGCTACCTGGTCCTCAGATTGTTATACTGTAGCTCTTACCAACACAGCTACCTGGTCCTCAGATTGTTATACTGTAGCTCTTACCAACACAGCTACCTGGTCCTCAGATTGTTATACTGTAGCTCTTACCAACACAGCTACCTGGTCCTCAGATTGTTATACTGTAGCTCTTACCAAAATGAAATTAAGTGGAGGTAATTTTTATTTACGAAAAACCTCTGTTGAAATCTAGCATGTTTTGCCTGCAGTGGGGCAGAGATACTAAAGGTCTCTGAAGTGGGGAGACAAACCTGTTTCTTCTATCACACTGGGGTTCAAAACTTATTAAAAATAAAATAAAACAAATACAGAAATGAATACAAATACATTTGTAACACCAAGGCCGTTTTTCGTTTAAACGGTCAAACCGGTCGGACCACAGTTGTTCGTTTATTAAATACGATCGGACCTAGTAATCTGATGCTGCATTCAGGCGAGCCTTGACACCATTTGCAGGTTGGCCAGGATTTATACCCGAAAATGTTACATTTATAAACAGTCAAACTGGTTGGTCTGCATAAACGAACAGGCCCCAAGTGAGCAGAGTTTTCTACACATCCCAGAGAGTGTTCGAGTGTGACCTTTGACCCTTTAACCGAGGAATGAGGAGAGATATAATTAATGTCTATAAAATTTTGAACAATTTTCATGACAACAAAGTTACTGCTGGCATCTTCTATCAAGATTTTACATCTAGAACAAGAGGACATCCACAGAAAATAAAGAAAAAACATTGAAAATTAGATATTAGGAAACATTCATTTGGCTATAGAACTGTTGATATGTGGAACAGCCTTCCCGTGGCGGTCATACAGGCTACAACAATTAAGGACTTTGAAATTAGTTTGGACAATCATTGGAAACATCTTGAACTGAAATTGAATCACCTAACTAGCTACAAATCTGACAATGGGAGTGATTTTTAAATTTAAATTGTTATATTATATGATTTGGACCTAGAGGCAAGTAATTGCCTGTGTCTATCATCTATCCTATGAAACCCTATTAACCTTGACCAATGACCACCAGAATCTAATCAGGTGAGAACTTGATAAATCTGTCGAGGTGACTTCTGTATAGATGTTAAGTAAACCAGGTTTTTACTTCCCAAGTGATAGAGATCTCTGACCCTTGAACAGTGATTGATGATCATCAAAACAAAGTCAGCTGTAGAACTTGATATTACCACACTATGGTAGAACTTGTTGAGGAGTTTGTATGATAACTTGTAAACAAGTTTCTTTACATGTACTAAACACACACACACACAAACAAATGCACTAGTAAAACGATTATTATGTAACAGGAAAGGGAACAGCGTTCTTCCACCGGGGATCGAACCCTTGATCTCCAGTTTCCCAGTCGGACGCTCTACCACTGAGCTTAAGGGAAATTCCCTCTAGCGCTAAGCTAGAAGGCGACTGTAATCCTATGTACAATTAAAATCTGCCAAACTACTCCCACCTTTTTAAATGTGTTTGCCCTCTAACACCACAACCCAGGTTCTAACTCCCTGCCACGGCCAACATTTGTAACAGGAAAGAGAATAGAGTGCTTCCACCGAGGATTGAACCCTCAATCTCCAGGTTCCTAGTTGGACGCTCTACCACTAAGCTTAAGGGAAATTTTCTCTAGCTCGAAACCGGAAGGCGACCGTTATCCTTTGTACAATTAAAATCTGCCACAACTATATATCCTCCTCCACAGAGAGAAGGCATAATGAAAAAGAAAATTCAGGAAATGAGTGAAAAATACCTTGCTTAGAGCTTCCTCCTCTGCTTTCTTCTTGGCAAGAAGTTCTTCCAACGATAAAGGGACTACTTTCTTTGCATCCTTCTCTTTCTTTAATGAATCTCTACAAATAGAAAAGAGTAATCTGTCTTCATGACATGCGTTTATGAAGGACACTTATTAATTGGGAAAATATAGCATAATTTTTATTGAAATTCAGAATATATGTCTTATTTTTTGGTCATTTTGGGAAATTAAGGTACTTTTAGCTGGTGAAAACAGCCTGTATTCGGCTGTAAAAAAACATTGTTCAAGGAGGATATACAATGAATGACTGCTAGTCTTCTCACTTTTAACCAATCAAGAAGATAAAGAAATATTTTCATTGGACTTTGCTCGGACATAACCAGTTTTTCCCAGAGATAATGAAACATTTCCCGCCCCCACGGCTCTTCTTAGATCATCAAGATACAAGATCAGACTGCCATTCTTTTTACAGGATCATCATATACTATTATGTTTAGATCTAGAAGTATAAACGTAACAGTTCCACTAATTGGACTTCTCTGAATCATTGCCCAAAGTTGTCTTTTTCTTGGATTGTTTCCTCACAATATCTATAATGCTGAAGCATATCTCAAAAACCTGCTTTGTGTACAATTTGTTTGCTTGGTATCCAGAGTACAGCGAACATGGTTTTGGGAGAACACTAGGGATTGAATTGGGAGAACACTAGGGATTGAATTGGGAGAACAATGGGGATTTGAACTGGGAGAACACTAGGGATTGAATTGGAAGAAGACTAGGGATTGGGAGAACACTGGGGATTGAATAGAGAGAACACTGGGGATTGAACTGGGAAAACACTGGGGATTGAATAGAGAGAACACTGGGGATTGAATTGGGAGAACAATGGGGATTGAACTGGGAAAACACTGAGGATTGAACTGGGAGAACACTGGGGATTGAATTGAGAGAATACTAGGGATTGAATTGGGAAAACACTAGGGATTGAATTGGGAAAACAATAGGGATTGAATTGGGAGAACACTAGGGATTGAATTGGGAGAACACTGGGGATTGAATTGGAAGAAGACTACGGATTTGGAGAACACTGGGGATTGAATTGGGAGAACACTGGGGATTGAATTGGGAGAACACTGGGGATTGAATTGGAAGAAGACTACGGATTTGGAGAACACTAGGGATTGAATTGGGAGAACACTGGGGATTGAATTGGAAGAAGACTACGGATTTGGAGAACACTGGGGATTGAATTGGGAGAACACTGGGGATTGAATAGAGAGAACACTGGGGATTGAACTGGGAAAACACTGGGGATTGAATAGAGAGAACACTGGGGATTGAATTGGGAAAACACTGGGGATTGAATAGAGAAAACACTGAGGATTGAACTGGGAGAACACTGGGGATTGAATAGAGAGAACACTGGGGATTGAATTGGGAAAACACTGGGTATTGGGAGATTACTGGGGTCGGGAAAACACTGGGTATTGGGAGATCACTGGGGATTTGGAGATCACTGAAGATTGGTAGAACACTTGAGATTGGGAGATCAATGGGGATCGGGAGATCATTAGGATTTGAGAGATCACTGGAAATTGGGAGATCACTGTGTATTGTGAGATTACTTGGGATTGGGAAAACACTTGGGTTGGGAAAACACTGGGTATTAGGAGAACATTGGGTATTGGGAGATCACTGGGGATTGGGAGAACCCTGTGTATTGGGAGAACACTGGGGATTGGGAGAACCCTGTGTCTTGGGAGAACACTGGGGATTGGGAGAACCCTGTGTCTTGGGAGAACACTGGGGATTGGGAGAACCCTGTGTCTTGGGAGAACACTGGGGATTGGGAGAACCCTGTGTCTTGGGAGAACACTGGGGATTGGGAGAACCCTGTGGATTGGGAGAACCCTGCGTATTGGGAGAACACTGGGGATTGGGAGAACCCTGTGTCTTGGGAGAACACTGGGGATTGGGAGAACCCTGTGTCTTGGGAGAACACTGGGGATTGGGAGAACCCTGTGTCTTGGGAGAACACTGGGGATTGGGAGAACCCTGTGTCTTGGGAGAACACTGGGGATTGGGAGAACCCTGGGAATTGGGAGAACCCTGTGTATTGGGAGAACACTCCGGATTGGGAGAACCCTGTGTATTGGGAGAACCCTGGGAATTGGGAGATCACTGGGGATTGGGAGAACCCTGGGAATTTGGAGAACCCTGTGTATTGGGAGAACACTGGGGATTGGGATAACCCTGTGTATTGGGAGAACACTGGGGATTGGGATAACCCTGTGTATTGGGAGAACACTGGGGATTGGGAGAAGCCTGTGTATTGGGAGAACACTGGGGATTGGGAGAAGCCTGTGTATTGGGAGAACACTGGGGATTGGGATAACCCTGTGTATTGGGAGAACACTGGGGATTGGGAGAAGCCTGTGTATTGGGAGAACACTGGGGATTGGGATAACCCTGTGTATTGGGAGAACACTGGGGATTGGGAGAAGCCTGTGTATTGGGAGAACACTGGGGATTGGGAGAAGCCTGTGTATTGGGAGAACACTGGGGATTGGGAGAAGCCTGTGTATTGGGAGAACACTGGGGATTGGGAGAAGCCTGTGTATTGGGAGAACACTGGGGATTGGGAGCACCCTGTGTATTGGGAGAACACTGGGGATTGGGAGAAGCCTGTGTATTGGGAGAACACTGGGGATTGGGATAACCCTGTGTATTGGGAGAACACTGGGGATTGGGAGCACCCTGTGTATTGGGAGAACACTGGGGATTGGGAGAAGCCTGTGTATTGGGAGAACACTGGGGATTGGGAGCACCCTGTGTATTGGGAGAACACTGGGGATTGGGAGCACCCTGTGTATTGGGAGAACACTGGGGATTGGGAGCACCCTGTGTATTGGGAGAACACTGGGGATTGGGAGAAGCCTGTGTATTGGGAGAACACTGGGGATTGGGATAACCCTGTGTATTGGGAGAACACTGGGGATTGGGAGCACCCTGTGTATTGGGAGAACACTGGGGATTGGGAGAAGCCTGTGTATTGGGAGAACACTGGGGATTGGGAGCACCCTGTGTATTGGGAGAACACTGGGGATTGGGAGCACCCTGTGTATTGGGAGAACACTGGGGATTGGGATAACCCTGTGTATTGGGAGAACACTGGGGATTGGGATAACCCTGTGTATTGGGAGAACACTGGGGATTGGGAGAACACTGGGCATTGGAAGATCACTTGGTATTGATAGAATCTTCCCCTACCTTGAGGGTGTGACAGAGAAATCTCCAACCTGAGGGGGGATGTTTTTTGGTTGTCTAACCCGAGGCTCTGCTGAGGGTTAGACAACCAAAAAACCACCCCGAGGGTTGGAGATTTCTTTGTTACACCCTCAAGGTAGGGGATGATTATTTTTCTCCTATCCTATCATTTAAGTCACAACTCCACCAACAGTTGTCTGCCGTGTTTGTAAACAAAAACATGTATGGGGTATGAATATCGGCATTCACTTTTGATGACGTCACAATTACACTGGTGACACATTTTAATGACTTCACCATTGAACACGTGCTAATCGGCATGAGGCTATCTCCCCCCTAGGGGGTGACAACCTGATCTTTCCCGGCTAAAACGGGAGACACACCTGTGAAGGGTGGGAGAATGGGGATCACTGGGGATTGGGAGAACACTGGGGATGGGGACATGCTTACTTTGAGTCTTTTTTCCCATCTTTGCCGTCCTTGGAATCTTTGTGTTTACGTTTGCCACGATCACGACTTCTGCTGCGTCTATCTCTTTCTCTGCTCCTGCTTCTGTTTCTTGCTCTGTCACGACTCCGAGATCGTTTTCTGTTAAACCAAGTTGATTGTTTTGAAATGTTATTAACACAGAATAAAAGTTTACTGCTCTTTCTTTATATATATATCGATAAATAGTTTTGAATGTCCATGTGACGGTAAAAATATAAATAAAACAATTTAACACGAAGACTGGTATAATCGGCTAGCGCTTTCCCCCCATCTTGGGGCTCTTCAGGCGATTTAAATTTATTTGTGACGTCATAAATGGAGTACACATACTTAAAAAGTAAAAAATAATGATGTCATAAACAAAGTACACATAATGCGGACGTCTAGAAATTGCTCCGTCTTAAAAAGATTACATGAATGTACTTGCATTAAATGCGTCAATGGAATATATGGGAAAAGAAACGGAGCATATTACAAATGCTCAAATGAATACATTAAGAAAAGTCAAAGCACAATACTTAGTTCATCCTCACATATTAAACATACGGAATTTGTAAATTTATATTTTAATTCCCGCGTTCAAGTCTGGTTTTAGAATTTTAATAAACATGTTCTCTTTTAACTCTCTTGCAATAGTATCTGATGTGTTCATTTGGTAAATTGGTGAAACTAATAACTGATCATTTCAACACTGATAAAAATGTTAAAAATGGTAAAACTAAAAACTGATCATTTGAACACCGATGAACTCCTATATGCTTGTAATTTTTTTTCTCCTTCTGTAGATGTCGCTTACTTTAAGTAATTATTTTTAAAGATATTGTCTGGCGACGCTTTCTTAACTGTACAGGTTAATACACACATGTGCCACACTGCCAGCCGTAAAATTAAATTTATCATAACTCGGTCAATTTTTCAAATATCAAATTAAAATTTTGTACGAGGTGTATTATAATTATATAGTCATATTAACAACATATCTTCTGATGTCGCTTACTTTTTTCGATATTTAAAAACATGTTGTCTGGTGTCGCTTGTTGTCACTTGAAGACACTTGTTGTTGGTTGAAAACGCTTTTAAGGGTGACTAACTAGAAATGTTGTTTTTGATGCAAGAAAGTAAGGTGGGGTTGATTTTTCGACATTGACTTTCCACCCTTCTCGTATATATATATATAGTCATTGCATGGGGTGTTATTTTATTTTTTACCAAAAAGTCGATCTAAACTCCTTAAACATGTAAAATTCCTCTGAACACCTTAGTTTAGGTCCAAATATAGCTGTAACAAATTCTCAGGTCCCTGTGCTACAAACCAGTTTTCATTTTTGGTTTTCTTTTTAACAGGTCGGGGAAAACTTCGTTAATAATATGTTTTTTACGAGAAAGCATCAACTTGCATCAATGTCATTTCAGCATTGTGCTACCCGAGCACTGGACTACCACAACAACCACTTACCATGATGCGACTCCTTGCGAAATGAACGCGATTCGGTGTAAATGCACGGATACCCCAATTAGCGTATGATAGGCAAGTTTGTGTATTATACGCAAGTTAGTGGTTTTCCCCGACCTGTTTAAAGCGGGGCATAAATGTCCCTATAAAAAGAGAACGTCTGACAAACGACTCTGACAAACTCTCGTGCATGTATGAGGGATGATCTCCAACTTTTGTTATTCCAGTACCCAACGTTACCTCTCTCTACTTCGGGATCTTGGGCGCTTTGATTTCCTTTCCCTGGATCTGGACCTTTCGCGTTTTCGGTCACGTCTGTCGTCTGCAACATCCATATTGAGAATATATACTGTGGAATATTCTAGATACCAAGAATTACAATTGTCTTCAGTTCTGACCAACTGTCTTGTACAGCGGCTAGCACAGAAACACTATTAATGTTTTTTGACGATCTAGAAACGCGACGAAACGTTTACATGGGGGCCGCCATGATGGATACCCGCGGTAAATCACGCAATAATGTGGGAATTTAAAAATAAATATAAAACAAAAATCAAACACACTGTTATCACTATTTTAATAGTTGATGAATCTTATAAAAAATTGACAATATTTAAGCAATTTTGAGTTAATTCTTTTGAGAACTTACAGTCTTATAGATGTTTGAATAAACGTAATAATTCAAGCGTTCAATTGACATGTGTCCTTAGGAATTCTAAAGCATCAAGATGGATGATCTGTGGGAAGACAGGGATGTCAGATTCGACGTGAACCCGTCGTATGTCATTTTTTTGCGTTAATGCTGACGTTTATTTCTTTCTTTTGGAATTCAAAATCTTTTTTTCTTCAGATTCATTGATAGAAAGTAAAAAAAATCCATTTTCTAGAGCAAATCTTGAATAATGTCATGTGAACTCTAAATTTTAATTCCTATAGTAGGCCTACTGTCATTTTGTGAGCCCGTTTTTAGTGTCACAATGAAGACAATGTTTAACTATTTACACCCCAGGTTTGGATATCCTTTTGTCATGTCTTAACGCCCATTACTTGAAAGTAGGGTTGGCTATTTAATCCATTTATCGATATATGTGAGGTACATCTGTTGTGTCATAGTAGATTTTTGTTGTAAGCACCTCATAACTCTCCGATACCAAACGGTGTCGGAGAATTCCACGTTTTCATATAGCAGTGCACTCGGGAGATCTGGGCCTACATGTACACCAGACATCTATACATATGTCAAAATCTCTAAGTCTGGAGTTAGGGCCAGAGGAAACTCGAGCTAAGTATATATATATATGGACACTCTGCCAATTAAAGTCCCTGGTCAGGGACATGCAATTAATCAATCAAGTCAGTCTGACTCAGGTTCTGCTACAGTCTCTAGCAAATTGTGCATGCAGTATATATATTTATATTTGTTTTAATGAATACTGATGATGAATTGAAAGTGTTTCAGCGGTCATGGGATAAATATTACTCAAATTAAAATCTTGCTTTTTTATAAGCGAAAAGGTCAAAATATTTACCCCCTTGATAAAAATCGTACATGTAACTATATTTTTCATAAAAAAAGGATAATTTATTCTTTCTCTATGTAACAGACAACTAAAAGTATTAACATTGACTTGTGCTATATTTTATAGGCAAATGAAGATGCGTCCTGGGGAAAAGATGATTGACAGGCTGGACGCTGTAGAAGATACCAAAGGCAACAATGGAGATAGAGGTATTATAAATAAATAATAGTTATTAATTTTTATTTAACGTCGTGTACATTGTCAACAACAAACATAAGCTCTGTAGAGCTTTTATTAAGAAGCCAATATAAAAACAATTGAAGTTTTTCGTGGTGGAGGAAAATCCATGGGGGTGGGGTGGGTGGTGGGGGGGTGGGGGGCGGAACCACCTAGCCATCGGAAGGATAACAATTAACCCTATCAGACATCACTTTCTTTTTCCGCCACCAGTAGGAATCAAACTAAAATTCCTAGGAGGGGAGTGGTCTGAAGGTTATGCATGATTGTGCACAGTAAAAATGACAGTGCGTGTTAGCGATCACGGCTACTGTGGCACCCTTGATGGATTGAATTCATTGATATGAGGCCAAAAATAAAATATATGTGTGTTTCCTGTTTCGGCTCCAAAACAAATTGGGTAGGTTGAGGTAGGAAAAACATTTTATTTTGTTTTTTTATTTTGTTTTCTGGTGAAGAAAGTCTCCTGATTACCTCTGTGAATGTTAAAAATATGTATTTTCCCTACTGCTTGACACTAGTTTTCAGAAATCCAAACTCCACTGATGGTCATCAGTGTTACATTCTCTTTTGTATTACTGATGCTTTCTGTTCAAATTAATTGAACAACAAAATAAGTACATTTATGTTGACACTATATTTACAACACAATTTTTTTAATCCGTCATAAAATATACAAGTCTTAACTATTGTGAACTCAATCTCTCCACTCCAAACTTATATCCAACTATAAACTGTAAAACTACACAGATCTACAAACTACAGCTTACACTACTATTATTACTAACTTCCTAATTCTCACTTTAACTCTCTCTTTCTAACTCTTCTCTATATCTCTAGACCTCTCAACTCTTTCTCCCTAACTCAACCTCCTTCCTCAAGACACCTTAACTCAACTCCCCAACCCAACTTTCTTCACCTCCTGTGACTCCAAGCCGAACTACCTTACTATCTGTTCCTTAGCAAAATCTTGCTACATTAATTGAAATTAAATAATTATACCTTATATAAAGACAGAACAATGTAGTATTTTCATGGAATTCTTGTTGTTTTTAGGGCGTATAATTGTGACAAACCTAAGGATCATTTGGCACTCACTCAGCATGCCTCGAGTCAATTTATGTAAGTATTATGTGTAAAGTAGCATATATCCTTCACTGTAATACAAATCTATACAACTGTAACATAATGGTAAAATTTAGGTTCAAGGGTTGTAGGTTACAGGTTAAAAAACGATCAAGGGAGATAACAAATAACTCTTAACAAAAATCTATACAACTGTAACATAATGGTAAAATTTAGGTTCATGGTTGTAGGTTAAGGGTTAAAAAAAACGATCAAGGGAGATAACAAATAACTCTTAACAAATATCTATACAACAGTAAAATAATGGTAAAATTTAGGTTCAGGAATGCAGGTTAAGGGTTAAAAAAACGATCAAGGGAGATAACAAATAACTCTTAACAAAAATCAATGGTTAAAATATGAAGTACCTTAAGTACCTTAAGTACTTAAAAATTATATTTTCATCAGTTGCATTTTTTTTTTTAATAATCAACAAATGTTTTTTGGTACATTGGGAAAAAATATGCGTTTGTCTATAATAAGAATAAATCTACAGTATAAAAAATCTGAACTCACAAAAAGTGGATACAAATAACACAATATCTTGAACTATAAAGAGACACCAAAATGAAAGGAAAGACACCATGAATACATTTCAAATTTAGGAAAGTATAGAGTTCACTATGTAAGACAAGATGAACAAGGTGAACTAGTCTTCACTGACTATTTATAGTCATGAGTTCTTTATGATGACCTTAAATATTCTTCAGGATAAATTAAAGCTGATCAGATTCTGGCTTAGTGGCTAAATTGTCGAACACTGCTTTGAGAAAACCCTTAGAACAGTTTAGAAAGGATCTAATGTTACTTGTCAACTCAGTAAGCCCAGGTAGGGGAATAGTATGTGAAATATTAAAACAGTTGGAAGTATAATAGAGACCTTGTAACATACGTCTGAAATATTATTAAACCATTATCAACTAGTTAAATTAGTCAGTCTTAAACTGTTCTTGATTTCTTCAACTATATCTACAATACATGTATATAAATTGAAAAATATTATATATGATATTTATTTTGACTTGCAGCTATTGGATTTAACTGTGTGATCAATATTTCAACAAAGACAGCTCAGTCAGTAAGTAATATGACAAATCTTTAGACCTGAAGTACTCCAGTACCATTCAACACATCAGTAGCGTTTCCTACACAAACGGTTTCAGGAGGCGTGTTTGGTAGCAGAACATTTTTAACCTCCTTGATTGTTTTCACCGTTTTTGACTTTTTCTTGTGTGAAATCAAAATAGGGCTAAAGTTGTAATTTATTCATTTACATCTATCTTATAATCTGTTAGTTCTTCTGCACCAGTAACCAGTAAGTACATGTATACAATAGCAAATTCTATTTGAGCAAATTTGTTTCATAATTTCAAGAGAAGGCAAAATTTAACTGGGCAATATTATAGGAGGCACGATAGTCTAGCTGAAATTGTAGGACGCCAGGCTTGTGACCGAAGGGCTCCGCTTGTTCCAGTCTACTCAGTCGTAAATCAGTACCTAGTTTGGCAGTGCTAGAATTGTAGAATGCTAGCTGTGAGCACCGAAATGGCAGCACAGGCTTTATGCTCTCCAGGGAGTTGAGAGAGATATTACCTGGTTGCAAAGGCCCTATAACCAGGGATAATAATTTATGAACTGCTTTGAGACGACCTACAAACTAGGTTGTGATAAAGCAGTATACATATAAGAACCTCAAATTATTATTATTATTGCAACTTTTAGTACATTATGTAAAATATTAAGAGCATTGGAAGAGATTCACTTCAAAAATGTTATGAAATCAGTAAGAATATTCAAGGATCCTTTTGCCTGTTTTTTGCAAGAATTTATTTCAAATCTAACATTATCTATCATGTTGTTTTAATTTTTTTATGATTTTGCCTATTTTTTCAGAAATTAAGAGGGACTACAGAGGCTTTGTATGTCTTGACAAAGTGCAATACCACTAGATTTGAATTCATCTTCACAAATTTAGTAAGTCTATCATCTCCTATTTCTATTCACAGTAACAGTTTTTAATGTGATGTTCCAACTCTTAAAACTTTGAGCTTTATCTCTTTTGCTCACTGACATTGGATTGAGTTTAAAGAAATGAATGCACATATGGTTCCAGGATGGCTTTGGGGTCTGGCCTCACCCTTGGAGACTTAGTCCCTGGGTCATAACTTTGAAACGGTTGAGATCCCCACCCCAAAACTAGATATGCAATTGATGGGCAAAAAGAGACAAACATAATCATGATATTAGCATTGACCTTTGGGTCTAGCAACACCCCTTGGGACCTAGTTTCTGAGTCACAACTTGGAAGCAGTTGAGATCCCCCACCCCAAACCATGTATACAACTGCTGGGCATGAACAATCTAATACAGATATATATGCTATAAGGATTGGCCTCGGAGTCTGATTCTATCCCTGGGATCTTATTTGGAGAAAATTTTGCCTTGATTGCTTAGATATTGAGGTGAGCAGTACAGGCCCCATGGGCCTCTTGTTTATTGTTTGAAATATCAGATTATGGAAAAGGGAGTCTCAAAATCGCAAATGACTGCAGATATGTCTGACAGCATGGAAGGGAGTCCCTAAATCTTGTCCGACATGTCAGATTTTGGCACTGTAAGAGTAACATTGTAAAGAAGTGATAGGTATAACGCTGCAATGATTTTAACCCTTTCACCCCTATGTAACTTTAGTAGACTCTACCATGCATTGATCCAGATGAGTCTATTTTGGTCTACAGTGGTGAAAGGGTTAAAGCATGTCATGATTGTTGTTAAACTCTATTGTGTCCTGATTTAACATTGCATTTATTGTCAACAGATTCCTGGTTCACCTCGCCTGTTTACGACTGTAATTGCAGTACACAGGTAAATTCAACATGTGATGTATAATTAGCATTGTGTTGTCTGGAAATACGATAAATAGTGTCTGGTGATAATCCATGATATGATCAATGTAAACGTTGGCCTGCTGTGAAAAAATAATGTTTGGTTGATAAAACCGTCGGGTTAAATGTGTAGCACAAACAAGCTTATATGCAGGAAATTTCCATACTGTATGAGTCAGTTTGTTTGAAGACTGGAGGGCAAAAGTTACAGGAAGTGAGATGAAGATTAATTTATTGTAAATATATAATAAGGCGGCGAAATTTATTATATCAGTGATGATAAACATAGGCCGTAAAAATAACAGTTTGTCAATGGTGATTAAAGTTGTTTTTCTATAAGTTGGTTTGTTTTTTTGGTGTTTTATGTCCTATTAACAGCTATGGTCATTTAAGGACGTGTCAGTTTTGGTGATGGAGGAAAGTCAGAGTTCTCGAAGAAAAAAACACCAACCTTTGGCCAATATATACCTGGGGACAACGCCATGTATACGTAGGTCTCAAACCGGCGACCCAGTGTTGGAGGGTTAGTGGTTGCAGAATAAGATACAGTGTTATATACTCTAGACATCTTCACTGAACCTCATGATATTATGTTGTGGAATTATAGAGGGTTGACGTCTGCTGGGGGCAACGTCACTAATGATTGGTTAGAGAGTCTGTCTTAATTTCAGAGGTTCTTGGTTCCAATCCTTGTCTTAATATCAGAGGTGCTTGGTTCCAATCCTTGTCTTAATTTCAGAGGTCCTTGGTTCCAATCCTTGTCTTAATTTCAGAGGTGCTTGGTTCCAATCCTTGTCTTAATTTTAGAGGTCCTTATTGGTTCTAATCCTGGTCTGCATTGGTGTTGCACTTTTCCATCCCAGTAAGATTTTGCTGTGATTTGGGTCTTGTTTTTCTATTGGGTCAAAGATTTTGTTGGAGAGGGAGGAATGTCAGTGTTCTCACATTGAAAAAGTTGGTGGACTTGAAAAGAATATCCTCGGCTGAATGTTCAAATGTACATAATGTCTGTACATATTCTGAAAAATAAGGCAGTTCAAAATTGAATATTTATATCTCTCCCTTCTTCAGCTTTGTAAACTCTGACTGCATATAAATTAGCATATACGCAATGAAAAAAGGCTTGGCGGATCGATACTAGAATCAAATATGTCGCCGTTTACACTTCAGCAAGATAACTGTTGGATGACAGCCATAATTTGGTTCTTTCAGCATCTAGAAGGAAGCTAACGCGCACCACAGAACATGTTCATTGAATTGCCAACTGCGTTCATCATAGGTAACGTACATGCGCCGTCAAAATGCGGGTCAATCCTTAATGAATAGTAGGTTTCTTCTTCCTGCACCTGACTTATAATAAGAACATTTAATGTTATATTTCTGGACTGGGTTGATCACTGGTGACCCGTTAGCTTAGGTGGTTAGGGCGTCAGTCTAGAGTAGTGCTGGGTTCAAATCCCATGGTCAGTTGGGTCGTTGCATTTTTCCTTACTTGTTACAACTGTTTGATGATGAATAAATAAAATTCATAGATATTATGAAGATTTGATGTCTAAAGTCTCTCAATCCACACATAATTATCTTTTGTCTGTTACAGGGCTTATGATACGTCTAAGTTATATCGTGACCTGAAGCTACGGGGCGCACTGGTCCACAACAAACAGCTGAGACTTCTTCCCCAGGAACAGATCTATGACAACGTGAATGGAGTGTGGAATCTGTCCAGTGACCAGGTCAGTTACTAAAGTATAACCTGCTTAAACTGGCCCTGTATAATCAAAAAACCTGTATAAACTGGACCAGGTCAGTTACTAAAGTATCACCTAATTAAACTGGCCTTGTGAAATCAGAAAACCTGTATAAACCAGACCAGGTCAGCTATTATAGTATAACCTGCTTAAACTGGCCCTGTATAATCAAAAAACCTGTATAAACCAGAACAGATCAGTTACTAAAGTATCACCTAATTAAACTGGCCTTGTGAAATCAGAAAATCTGTACAAACCAGACCTTCCACAAGGTTATCGTAAATTGACGATGTATTCAAAATACTTGTAAAAACTAAATCTTCTACAATGTCCCACTTTAATTCATACAGCTTTATATAAATTGAACCTTGATAATCAGAAAACCTGCATAAACCAGACCTTCCACAAGGTTATGTAAATTGAACCTATATTTTCAAAAGACTTGTAAAAAATAATTCTTTTACGATATTCCACTTTATACAGCTATATATATTTATTGAACCTCTATAATCATAAATCGGACCTTTCACAATGCTCGTCCAACTTTAATATGTTTTTTTTTTGTAAACTGAACCTGTGTAATGAAAACCGTCTGTTTTCTAAAAGATCATACCATGTGAACAGTTATATTACAATTTGTTTTTCTCTACTACAGGGTAATCTTGGAACTTTCTTTATCACCAATGTACGGTTGGTGTGGCATGCCAACATCAATGAGTCGTTCAACGTCAGCATCCCGTACCTCCAGATGGTTGGTTCTCGTGCATTACAAACAAAACGTTTGATCAGCTAGACCAGTCTCATACTATTGTGTAACCCAAAGTTCTTTTATTGAAAGGAGAACTGATCACTAGCTTAAATCCTCTCAAAGAAGTAACTTGAAGCACAATTCAGAAAATAAATGATAATAATGAAAATAAGGAATCCTAAAATTGAGATGAACTCCTGATAACATGTCATCTGTAAGATATGTGTTCCTAAAAATTTAACATATTCTGAAAATAGGTAATCTTGGAAAATAAATCACCCAACAGTAAGTATTTTGGAAGATATATTTATATTCCTAAAGATGATTTGATTTGCAGTATAAAAAAATGAAACTGACATTTTGCAGAACAATTCCATGGGTAGATGATAACTTTGACAAGAGTTTAACTATTTAATACATATGTCCATTTGTTATCTAATATTTGGCAACTCTACCAATAATCTGGTTACAGTGTATACAAATATCATTGTTATCAGATATTTGCAACTCTACCAATAATCTGGTTAATACCGTGTATACAAATATCATTGTTATCAGATATTGGCAACTCTACCAATAATCTGGTTTATACAGTGTATACAAATATCATTGTTATCATATATTGGCAACTCTAACAATAATCTGGTTTATACAATGTATATAAATATCATTGTTATCAGATATTGGCAACTCTACCAATAATCTGGTTACATTGTTTACAAATATCATTGTTATCAGATATTGGCAACTCTACCCATAATCTGGTTTATACAGTATATACAAATATCATTGTTATCGGATATTGGCAACTCTAACAATAATCTGGTTAATACCGTGTATACAAATATCCTTGTTATCAGATATTGGCAACTCTACCAATAATCTGGTTACAGTGTATACAAATATCATTGTTATCAGATATTGGCAACTCTACCAATAATCTGATTTATACAGTATATACAAATATCATTGTTATCAGATATTGGCAACTCTACCAATAATCTGGTTTATACAGTATATACAAATATCATTGTTATCGGATATTGGCAACTCTAACAATAATCTGGTTAATACCGTGTATACAAATATCATTGTTATCAGATATTTGCAACTCTACCAATAATCTGGTTACAGTGTATACAAATATCATTGTGATCAGATATTGGCTACTCTACCAATAATCTGGTTTATACAGTGTATACAAATATCACTGTTATCATATATTGGCAACTCTAACAATAATCTGGTTAATACCGTGAAGACAAATATCATTGTTATCAGATATTGGCAACTGTAACAATAATCTGGTTTATACAGTATGTACAAATATCATTGTTATCAGATATTGGCAACTCTAACAGTAATCTGGTTTATCCAATATGTACAAATATCATTGTTATCAGATATTGGCAACTCTAACAATAATCTGGTTTATACAGTGTATACAAATATCATTGTTATCAGATATTGGCAACTCTAACAATAATCTGGTTCATACAGTGTATACAAATATCATTGTTATCAGATATTGGCAACTCTAACAATAATCTGGTTTATACAATGTATACAAATATCATTGTTATCAGATATTGGCAACTCTACCAATAATCTGGTTACATTGTTTACAAATATCATTGTTATCAGATATTGGCAACTCTAACAATAATCTGGGGCCTGGTCGTTTATAAATGTAACAATTTCGGGTATAAATCCTGGAGGACCTGCAAATGTTTATACAGGCCCTGCAAGTCTTTGTCAAGGCTCGCCTGAAAGCAGCATCAGATTACTAGGTCCGACCTTATTTAATAAACGAACAAAAGTGGTCCGACCGGTTTGACCGTTTAAACGAAAACGGCCCTGGTTACAGTGTATACAAATATCATTGTTATCAGATATTGGCAACTCTAACAAAAATCTGGTTACAATGTCTACCAAATATGTTACTGAATGTTGCGAGTATTTTGTTGCAATGGTAAAAGTGTACAAAACTGTTACGAATTTCTAGATTTGCAGTCATCATTAGACGAAACAGAAACCAATATTTTACATAATAATAATAATTCCTTTATTTTTTTTCCAGAGATCTGTAAAAATCAGAGATTCCAAATTTGGATTGGCTCTTGTTGTAGAAAGCTCTCAGCAGGTAACAAAATATTTATGAAAACTTGTAAACCTTTATATATACCTCAGTAATGTTGTAAAAACCTGGCTTATATACAAGTGGAAAGATGACCAAGGTGTAATGTAACGCTGTTTATCCTCATTTATAACCTGATCAATTATTTGATCTCTGATTGTGATATAATTTACTTGTGATTTCCAGAGTGGTGGTTTTGTGCTGGGGTTCAGAATAGATCCCGCCGAGAAACTTCAGCAGGTTGTCAAGGAGATACAGAGTCTGCACCGGGTTTACAGTGCATGCCCTCTGTTTGGTGTTGAATTTGAAACGGAAGAAAAGGTATCCTGTCCACCAGCAAAGTCTTGTTAAAAAGAGCTTCAATTATGAAAGTAGCGTGGAAATGTTTATTTCAAATCCATCAATTTCACACTGTGCTTTTTTGAGATTTTAAAAATATTAGTGAAGAACTTTTAAATTTTGTTTATACCTAGGTCAGAGATTAAATGAGTTTCCACTAAAAAAGGACATTTTCACATCATCAGTAATACATGTATTGGAAGGACGATATATCATATTCCACGCCTGCATATGGTTTAAAGTAATCTACTCAAAAATTTGACCAGAATTTGAAATGAAAGTTACATCCATATAAGCCTGGACTGCAACGCAAGTGTTAAGACAGTATGTTAAAGGGCCCTTACCCAATGGTACATCGTCACGGTACATCGTCATGGTACATCGTCATGGTACACTGTCATGGTACACTGTCATGGTACATCGTCATGGTACACTGTCATGGTACACTGTCATGGTACATCATCATGGTACATCGTCATGGTACATCGTCACGGTACATCGTCATGGTACACTGTCATGGTACACTGTCATGGTACATCGTCATGGTACACTGTCATGGTACATCGTCATGGTACATCGACATGGTACACTGTCATGGTACATCAACATGGTACACTGTCATGGTACATCGACATGGTACATCGACATGGTACACTGTCATGGTACATCGTCATGGTACATCGACATGGTACACTGTCATGGTACATCGTCAGACAAAATGTAGAAACAGGCCTTCAAACGAGTTACAGCACCAGATAGCTAATAGCTTATACAGCTCGACTTGAGATCAAAATATATGCTGTAGTTGGCTTGAGGAACAATTATTTACTGTTGTCAGGATCAATTATACTGTTGTCAGGATCAATTATACTGTTGTCAGGACCAATTATACTGTTGTCAGGACCAATTATACTGTTGGCAGGATCAATTATACTGTTGTCAGGATCAATTAACTGTTGTCAGGACCAATTATACTGTTGTCAGGATCAATTATATACTGTTGTCAGGACCAATTATACTGTTGTCAGGACCAATTATACTGTTATCAGGACCAATTATACCTTTGTCATACTTTCTTTTACAGATGGACGACAGTCAGGACCTCACAGTTGAACATGTACAGGATGATGTGGAGATAGAAAATGAAGGATCCTCTGATGCCTTTGCGGTGAGTTATTATAAACAGGTGCCACACACGATGCAGGAATTGGTAACCATTCCACATCACTGGGTTTTATTTTTGTCAGGGTTCATGTTGGCTTTCCTTTTCTTTTGGTGTCTTTACATTCCTGTTTTATTTTTTAACAGCTCTGTGTTCAGATTTAATCCTGATGTGTTTAAGATGTGGTGTGATTTTTATCCCAACTCCCCATCCTAATTAAGGTCCAGGTCACTGTTTCTATAAATAGAACATTTTTCTCATCATTCTAAAAGGTTAATTATGTTTGTTATCACCAAGCTTGGTGGTTTGGTTTATAGGGTTTAACGTCCTGTCAACAGCTAAGGTCATTTACGGACTGTCAACAGCTAAGGTCATTTACGGACTGTCAACAGCTAAGGTCATTTAAGGACTGTCAACAGCTAAGGTCATTTACGGACTGTCAACAGCTAAGGTCATTTACGGACTGTCAACAGCTAAGGTCATTTAAGGACTGTCAACAGCTAAGGTCATTTAAGGACTGTCAACAGCTAAGGTCATTTAAGGACTGTCAACAGCTAAGGTCATTTAAGGACTGTCAACAGCTAAGGTCATTTAAGGACTGTCAACAGCTAAGGTCATTTAAGGACTGTCAACAGCTAAGGTCATTTAAGGACTGTCAACAGCTAAGGTCATTTAAGGACTGTCAACAGCTAAGGTCATTTAAGGACTGTCAACAGCTAAGGTCATTAAAGGACTGTCAACAGCTAAGGTCATTTAAGGACTGTCAACAGCTAAGGTAATTTAAGGACTATCAACAGCTAAGGTCATTTAAGGACTATCAACAGCTAAGGTCATTTAAGGACTATCAACAGCTAAGGTCATTAAAGGACTATCAACAGCTAAGGTCATTTAAGGACTATCAACAGCTAAGGTCATTAAAGGACTGTCAACAGCTAAGGTCATTTAAGGACTGTCAACAGCTAAGGTCATTTAAGGACTATCAACAGCTAAGGTAATTTAAGGACGCGCCAAGCTAATTAGCCATCCTCAATAATCCAGGGGTTACCATCACTTTCGCTCTCTGCACCCCTGGAATATGTCAAAGCAAAATCGAAGGCTCAGCCTTTACATCATTGGGGATGAGACGAGGAGACTAGTTTTATCATTTGATGTACATCAAAAAAGTCTGTCGGTCGCGTAACCGTAAAATAGACTGGCTTTGAAGTCAGGTGTCGTTCCTCTGTTTTCTTCAAAGGACAGGTATCAGCCTACTGACTGGTCAGGTTTTTTCAACCGAGACCAATCTAGTAAGTCAACCGAGACCAATCTAGTAAGTCAACCAAGACCAATCTAATAAGTCAACCGAGACCAATCTAGTAAGTAGCAGTGTGCCTTAATTTTGCTAGGACACATTCGAGGATGAGCTTGGTGGACTGTGTCACTTAATACTTCAGATGATTTCACAGTTTGCCACGAGGTCAAGGTCACTGTTACCATAAATAGATCATTTTTTGTCATCACTCTGAAAGGTTCATCTAGATTATAACTTCTTAATATAAAATCAAAATTACATAGACTAGATATAAAATCTAGATCAGAATTTCTCCACCAAACTTGGTGCCAAGTGTTAAGCAGTCAATTCCATAATTAATATAAAATTTATTTCTTTTGAAACAATTATGAACAGGTTTTTCCAACATATAGTATACTAATCACTCTTGTTTCTCCCGATGGAAGTGCTCTAAGGGCATTAATGTGGGAGACCTCATCCTATTAAAGGTCACAAAGTCATTGTTACTATAAATAGATTCTTTTGTCTCATATTTCATATGCATTGGTGATCACAATCAAGTTCATAGGTATCTTGATTGAGGTCTTGCTTGCTCACCCAAGGTCAAGGTCACTGTTACAGAAAATTTCTGAATGATAATATTCTAGTGTGTTTCCTCCCGAGACTTTATAGAAAGTCTTAATGATGTATTTTCAGAACTATTATATGATATACTTTTGTCTGGACTGGGTCAACCTTTGGCGACCAGATAGCTCAATTGGTAGAGCGTCTGTCTAGAGTTCGGAGGGTCCCGGGTTCGAAACCTGGTCTGGCCGAGCATTTTTCCTTTCCTGATACACTTTGTACAAATCTATCTAAGCTCTAATGTTTCCCTTATCTTTACAGGCCTACTTTGCGGACGGAAGTAAAGACAAGGACCGCGACCCTGTTTACTCAGAGGAACTCGGATTGGCTATAGAAAAATTACGAGATGGATTCACACTCCATGGCCTCTGGGATGTCCTGGGATGAAGCTAGGAATATAGGCATACATATCGGGACATTCTTTGTTTACAACTCGGACATCCCTAGCTGGCACCAATCCAGGACATATAGATGATGTCTGCGACATTGTGTAGGTCATGCTCTGGTATTTGGGACATGCATGGTTGACATCCGAGACATGCTTGAATGATTTCTGTGACATGCTTGAATGATTTCTGTGACATACTTGAATGGTTTATGGGATATGATTGATATCTAGGGAAAACCTTTATGACATCTAGGATGACTCTGTTGTATACTTGAGATGCAAGTGTATAAAATTGTAATGGCTGCACATAATTTTCACTGATTAAGGCAGAAAGTTGAGTGACATTCAAGCACACAAGACATTTGAGAATCTCACATGACTATCAAAAGTGATCGTGAATGAAACTAAAAGTCTATAGTGTGTGTCTAAGTGAAATGTTGTTATACCTGCCCAGCTATGTTATACATTGTAGTACATTGAATTTTTATTAGACACGCTCTTTTCTAAAAACATACATATATATTACAGTAAAAAAGGCCTGTCCTGATCATAAGGCATGTTCATAGTTTTTAGTATATGAAAAAAAACAACCAAATAACCTTATTATAAAACTATGTATTGCTAAAAGATGATCCTGCAATTTATGACAGAATGTTATAAAAATGTTTAACGCCTATCAATTTTTCTCATTTAAGGCAAGAGTCTTTTCCCAAAAATAGCTAGGAAAACAGCCTCATAGATTTCCTATAGACCAAGGTGATAAGTAAAGGAGGTATCATTACTGATTTCAAAATCCATTATATGAGATGTGACCTCCTCTTCAAAGGGGTGAATTAAATAGTAAATGGCAAAGGGAAATAAGAATTGTTGTTTACCCCGGAGTAAATGTTGTATGACGTATGCTGTATCAACATGAAGAACTTATGTAGTGAAATTTACATATTTTGTACATGAAATGTCTGTGATAGTGTTTGATCTTTTGTTCTGTGTAAGATGGGTTGTTTTTTTAACAAGATATTAACTCATTCACCCCTAAAATTTATAATGAACTATTCCAACCTTTGAATTGAAGGAGTTCAAATGTGTCTTCAGGGGTGAATGAGTAAAACGTGGTAAGCGTGGGATAACAAGATCTAGAGCAGTGATCATTTCAGCCTGTCCTGTCTTAATCCTTTCACCCCTATGCAACTCTACCATGCATCAATCTGGGTGAGCCCATTATGGTCTACAGTGGTAAAAGGTCTTATTACAATGGAAGTTGTGGTTATATATATAGAGGTTAATACAGAGAAAGAATCATTTAGAAAACTATAAATTTGTAAATTCTCTGATAGAAAGCTTATTTACTGTAGAACCATAAGATATACATTGTCTAGTCCATTGCCATTAACATCTGTGTACATGTAAAGTCTGTGATCACAAAAATAAATAACATCCACAACTTCGGTGTTGGTTTTGATAATTTTCTGTCACTATTGCTGTGGTTTTCAGAATATCTCAATGTGTTTTTGGGCTTCTCTTACTAGATTGCGATTTTTACCATCAAATCCTGGATTTGGAGAGACTTGCCTTCGTCGCTCATAACATGGCTACATTTGGTGCTGGAAATGCTTACCAATCTGAAGATCTAGATTTCTCTTCGGCTCTTAATTTCGTACATGTCATAATTTTCCAGTGCAAAATAGTGAGATCAGTGAATTGTTTTAGTGAGATTTGGTAAAAAGTAGAGAGATTCAATTTTTTTTGAATTACTGAAAAATTCTCGAGACATTTAAAACATAAATTATACTGCATATAAGATAGTATTAACTCGTTTGTGTTATTCTGAAGCCTCCAATTACTTTGTTGGAACCAAAATTGAAGATTATTGATATTTAAAGGATTTAATTAGAGAGGTTTACACGTAACATGCAGTCCAGTTATAGCTATCAACATTTAAAAGTAAATATATCACAATACTTCCATCAAAGGCAAAAACTATAATTAATTAAAAGAGGAGCCTCGTTTTAATAAAGACCTGGAAGTCGACATAAAAGGACATCAATTACACTTTGATGTGGTAGAATAGATATAATAAGCATATGTATGTATGGTAGAATATACAACTCGGGCAAAAAAATTACCCCAACACTTGCTCAACTCTAGAGCACACTTTATGATTGTGGCAGATTTTAATTGCACATAGGGTTACAGTCGCCTTCTAACTAGTCTCCAGCTAGAGGGAATTTCCCTTTAGCTCAGTTGTAGAGTGTCCAACTAGGAACCTAGGGATCGCGGGTTCCATCCCTGGTGGAAGCACACTATTCTTCTATTGCATGATAATACACATATTTTGACCATATCTTTGTTATGTGATATCGGAAATTGAAATGTTATGCAGGAGGAATTTAAGTATTGTGAGTTTATTATATCAATCAGGGTGCTTCTGAAGATATTGTTCAACAGAATCGAAACATTAGTAATCAATTAATTTGTTACTTTATGTTATTGAAATTGCTTTTCATGTCTACCTAGCTCAATGCCTTAGACTTCAAATGACCTATACAAACTAACTACATGTATTAGAACAAGAGGCCCATGGGCCTTAATGGTCACCTGAGTCCTACAGTATTTATTTTTGTTGTTGAAATATGTACCAATTTGAGTAAAAAATTGTTAAGTATAACGTTAACTTAAGTTTGTCAGGACCATGAGCTGATCTTTCCTAGACCGATTTTCAGATAGATCGGCCTATTATAGAACTTGTTTTTAAGCTTGAAATAAGTATTTTCAAAATGGCGGCCATGGCAGCCAAATTTAATTTCTGATTGACCCGAAAAATAACAACACTTTGTCAGGACCATGAGTCGATCATTCCTACAAAGTTTCAGTTCAATCAGCCTAGCAGAACTTGACTTTAAGTTTGAAATAGTTTTTCAAAATGGCGGCCGTGGCGGCCAAATTGGATTTCTGACCGACCCAAAAAATAACAACACTTGGTCAGGGAGATGTCAGTAACCTTCCCATGAAATATTAATGAAATTCCTTTGCCAGTATTTTAGCTTAAGTTGAAAATGTAAAATGTTAACGGACGACGACGGACGACGGATGAAGACGGATAGCAATAGTTCACTTGAGCTAAAGCTCAGGTGACCTAATTAAAAAGGGCACTTTTGTGTGTGCAAACATGTCACACGATACCTTGACCAATCGACCAACAAGCTGACACTGAGATCATCTGGAAACTGCAGCCAGTGGTTCCATTCTGCAAGTTTATGTGAGAAAGCAAACTTTGATCTCCAATGATTTGTTGGTGTCTTCATTAAAACAGAGACCTTTGGGTAACACATGCTTGGCTAATTGGGACAAAGTAAAATTAACAAGCGGTGTTCTAAACCGAGGCTGTGGATATTCTTCATACATGTATCTTATAGATTTGACCATTGCTGTAATTATATGACAATTGTGACCAAGTGAAATGTCATGTTGGATGTGAGAAGTAACCAATTCACACCATGATATTTCAGTGAGGTGTAACTTTAATGTGGCAGAGCTCTGGAATCCCTAAGGCCCCATCCCATGGCCATCTCCAATGGAAACCACTGTCAGATGTCGTTTGCTGTTGCTTAAGACACATAATATGAGCTCAGCTGGAAAGTGGAATTATAATATGAACTCAGTGTTAATGAAAATAAGTTGTCATATGACCTAAGCTATTGTGTGGACAAGTCATCATATGACCTTAGCTATTGTGTGGACACATTGTCATAAGACCTAAGCTGTTGTGTTGACATGTCATCATATGACCTTAGCTATTGTGTGGACACATTGTCATATGACCTTAGCTATTGTGGGGACACTTTGTCATATGACCTTAGCTGTTGTGTGGACATGTCGTCATATGACCTTAGCTGTTGTGTGGACATGTCATCATATGACCTTAGCTGTTGTGTGGACATGTGATCATATGACCTTAGCTATTGTGTGGACACATTGTCATAGGACCTAAGCTGTTGTGTTGACATGTCATCATATGACCTTAGCTGTTGTGTGGACATGTGATCATATGCCCTTAGCTATTGTGTGGACACATTGTCATATGACCTTAGCTATTGTGTGGACACTTTGTCATATGACCTTAGCTGTTGTGTGGACATGTCGTCATATGACCTAAGCTGTTGTGTGGACATGTTGTCATGACCTTAGCTATTGTGTGGACATGTCATCATATGACCTTAGCTATTGTGTGGACACATTGTCATATGACCTTAGCTGTTGTGTGGACATGTCATCATATGACCTAAGCTGTTGTGTGGACACATTGTCATATGACCTAAGCTATTGTGTGGACATGTTGTTAACAAATCCTCAAAACGCACAATTAGATTAAAATAATACAAGACAGATTTGACGTCAATAAGAATTTTAATATCACAATAGGTGAGTGGCATCAACAACACAGTTTTTCTTGGTGTGTTGGATCCTTCATAGGCACTTGAAATTTTTGACATGTCACTGAATCATGTCCATACTTGTGTCAATTTACCTTTATAAAAAGTAACATATACCTTCCAACCTGTTCATTGGCCAGACTAGAATTAATTGGCTGAAATTTGATAGAATTGCATGATGTCTGTGACAGTGTCTCATTAGACAATAAACCACAAAAGGCCCAAGGACCTTGAATCACTCAGCTGGCTATTTGAAATGAGGTTATAATCTGCCCAGTACTTTGGGAGATCCCCTAGGAATGTTAGCCACTTCATTTGTATGAATTTTTATCCTCGTGGGCAAAGGATGCCAGCACTGCAATTTGTTTCAAACCTGCCCATTAGTATAGGAAGAGATTTTGTTTCAAGTAAATCTTTCCATATATTTCATTCGATCTCTTTTGATCTTGCCTCCAAGCTCCCAGGAAGGCTGGCTTCTTTACTTGTGTATCATTTGATCCCTTTGGACTTGACACATGCTACTACATGTACTTCAAATTAGTTGAAATCCTCGAAATGATTTGGAAGAAGATGTAATTAAAAGAAAATCCTGTTAATCCCAAACCTAAGCCCCTTTATCTGTATAACTCCTCATGGACTAAGCATGCTACCACTTCAAGTTTGTTGAAATCTCTCCAGTAGCTAGGGAGATATTATTTAACTCATCAACCCCTGAAGACACATTTGAACTTTTCCAATTCAAAGGTTGGAATAGTTCATTATGAAATTTCAGGGGTGAATGAGTTAAATAAGCTAATTTGATCCTTTTTTCCCTACCCCTTAGCTAAAGGAGGGGCAGCCCCAATAGCTATTGAAGTTTACACGTTAGTTCAGGAGGAGAAACAGTTTAATACAAAAGTTAATAAACAACAGACGAGGGATGATGCCCCACCACATATCCTCACCCTGGTATATCCTAACCAGGTACCGGTGAGCTTAATATGTCTATTTCTCATCCATCATTTTGTATTTTTCTTATCACCACTGTTCGTTGATTTTTTTTTCTCTTCCTGGTTGTATTTAGACAAATAATCTTCCATGATGGCAAGACGTACTGTGATTGGTGTTTCCTGTCTGAAGAACCATGCCTTCAAGTCCCCCCTACCACTAAACAAGTAGGCTCCGTCCGCTGGTCCTAAGATTTTTCTGCAAGCTAGATTCCTCGACAGGACACGTTTATAATACTCCCTTCCTGCCTCTGCGTAGTTCTTGCTGATGGCAGCAACTGTCCTGTCGGACTGCTTCTCCTTACGGTTTTTATACAAGAATAATAAGCTGTAGTATGTCGCTAAACCAGACCCGAGGATCAACGTATAGACTGACCCCCTTGTTACTTTTGTCAGGAGACCGTTACTATGTAAGTCAGTTTTAGCTAGCCTGGACAAGTTCTCCCCAACGTCTTGTATCAGGAACTCCCTAGTACAGTACATGAGACCTAGAGATGTTCCTGTTGTTACGATGCGGAAGGCTGCAATCACATGGTCAGAATTGTGCTGAGAGGAAACCATCTCCCTCATCAAAACAAACTTTTTCTCCTCATCAGTCAAGATGAGAGATTTGATGAGTGCGATACCATCTTCAGATTTCAAATCCACTGGCACCCTTGGAGGCCTCTCTATTCGGCCCTTAGTGAGAACACTAATTAATCTCCCCCTGGAGAGGGAACGCACAGTGTTCACATTCTCGGGTGAATAATTCATGAAGTAATGTGGTATACTAATGACAGTACCGAAATAGCCCCATAAGCTTCCTTTGTGACTTGGTTCTATACTGGGAACAACCATAAATTTCACCCTGTCTCTCAGTCTCATCAGCCAATCCCCATCATCCTTTACCTAAAAAGAACAGAAAAAATATGGGGGAAATTTCTATAAGACTGATACAAAATCAACAACACAAATATGTAAGTGTCTAATAATATAATGAAGCAGGTTTATGAGCTGACGACAACATCTACGAGATGAGGTGATATTGCTTTATTATGTATGCACCTATGATGGTGGTTTTTTTACATTATCAGGTGTATGTAAAATTCCATTTTCTGCCAAAAAATATTATTACTATACTATACAAATACTCAAAATTACTTCCCAAAAATTTGAACAACGGGCAAAACAACATCAAAGATGGAATAAATTATCATATATGATGTTGCATTACCGCAGAGAAAAGAATGGTGCCAAATTGTTTAGAAACCAGGTTTTTGTTTCTGTCGAAGAACTTGATCAATGCACAATAAATAACGAGATCCAGAAGGCGAGGCAATACAAAATTACGCAATCTGGAACCTTGCACTGCATCGCCTCAAAACTTGCTACCCATGATCACGTAACTGTATGTATCTGACAATAGGCCCGGGCCTTGTAATAAGTCCACCCTTATCTACTGGAGTCTTTAAAAATACCTACAGGTTCTATTTAATTGTCCTATAATATGCCCACCTTTATATTTTGAGACAGCTGATTTTGTTGTCCTTTATACCCAATCAAAATCCTATCACTTATTCCAAATATATCAGTTGGTAAAGATGCCCATGACAAAGTCATGCTGGGTACAAGGGCTTGAATCCAAGTTTACATTGACTATATATAGCTAGTTTAGACACATGAGGCGTGTCATCATCAGAACCATGTGTCAAAACTAGTCAACCTAAACTTGGATTAAAGCTGTTAACCCCAGCACGACATGGTCATCTTTACCTATTGATAACTCTACTATTTACGGCCAGACTCGTGTATTCCTTGTGGAATCTGTCTGCTGGTCAATCTGTCGCTTGAACTCTTTGCACGGATGTTGGATCTCCCACTCCCTGTAACTCCAAATATGCTAAATGTTTTAAATATTTATCCTTATTTTACATATCAGGCCCTGTCCCTCTACCCACAGGACAGATATATTCTTCATCCTATACAGTGTATTGTACACTGCTTCTCCTTGGCCTAGGGATCCTTCAAACAAAACCATGTTAAAATGCTCTAACCATACCAAAGGGGTAGTATTTTAAAGATTTACCACTATTCCTTGCCCAGAATCCTCGTCACCAGTGAGGGTTACATGTACAGTCATGAATGTCAGGAGTAACAGATAGACAGATTATATAATGAACACTATTTTCTCTTACCCTGGACAGGCGTTTCCACACTTTTACCGGTGTGAGATTAATAGAATCAATCCCTGATGTGAGATATGGATATAAGGTTATTCAAACCCAAGGGATAAAATATTGAGCAGGAGACCCGAGGCTCTGCCGAGGGTCTTTTGCTCAATATTTTATCCCGAGGGTTTGAATAACCTTATCCTTACCTCATATCAGGGATGGATTCTATTTCTTGCTTATTACCTAAAACCTGTAAAAACAGCTGCTTTTCTAGTAAAGCTGTAAACTGTCTGCATATTCTCATTTGCATAATGAAGCCCAGATGGCAATTGTTAGTGACGTCAATGACCCCGACTGACCCCAAAACGTTATAAAATGACGTCATGAACAATAGCGTAACCTTAATTCCCCCGCCAATTTGCGCATGTAAGCGATCTAGACCCGTGGGTTGGATAGAATTTTCCAGCACCGCCGGAAATGCGGATATCTCGGTCTAGTATGCAAGAAATCCTTATCTCACCCTAGGGTTGAGACGGGGGGGATTCCCCCCTTTTTATAACAATGGGATGACGTCACGTCAACAATACAATGACGTCACGTCAACAATCCATCAACATCAAGTCGACCCTTAATTTAGCCTGTAACGTTAACATTACATTATGCATATGATACACAATGGTTGAACAGGGTAAGAGAAAAATAAACATACACCCCCTTCAGGGTAAGAAAGGGGAATCTCAACCCTCTGGGAAATATTCTTAATTTGCCAAACACTCGGCAAAGCCTCGTGTTTGGCAACTTGAGAATCCTCCCCCTCGGGCTGAGATTCCCGTATCTCACCCTTAAGCCTTAAGGGGATGAGACATTCTATTATCTCACCCTTAAGGGGACGAGAATTTATATTATCTCAATCTTAAGGGGACGAGACAATCTAATATCTCACCCTTAAGGGGACGAGACTTTCTATTATCTCAATCTTAAGGGGACGAGACTTTCTATTATCTCAATCTTAAGGGGACGAGACTTTCTATTATCTCAATCTTAAGGGGACGTGACTTTCTATTATCTCAATCTTAAGGGGACGTGACTTTCTATTATCTCAATCTTAAGGGGACGTGACTTTCTATTATCTCAATCTTAAGGGGACGTGACTTTCTATTATCTCAATCTTAAGGGGACGTGACTTTCTATTATCTCAATCTTAAGGGGACGTGACTTTCTATTATCTCAATCTTAAGGGGACGTGACTTTCTATTATCTCAATCTTAAGGGGACGTGACTTTCTATTATCTCAATCTTAAGGGGACGTGACTTTCTATTATCTCAATCTTAAGGGGACGTGACTTTCTATTATCTCAATCTTAAGGGGACGTGACTTTCTATTATCTCAATCTTAAGGGGACGTGACTTTCTATTATCTCAATCTTAAGGGGATGTGACTTTCTATTATCTCAATCTTAAGGGGATGAGACTTTCTATTATCTCAATCTTAAGGGGATGAGACTTTCTATTATCTCAATCTTAAGGGGACATGACTTTCTATTACCTCAATCTTAAGGGGACGTGACTTTCTATTATCTCAATCTTAAGGGGATGAGACTTTCTATTATCTCAATCTTAAGGGGATGAGACTTTCTATTATCTCAATCTTAAGGGGATGAGACTTTCTATTATCTCACCCTTAAGGGGACATGACTTTCTATTATCTCAATCTTAAGGGGAAGTGACTTTCTATTATCTCAATCTTAAGGGGATGAGACTTTCTATTATCTCAATCCTGCAAATGTTAAGAACCTCACCTGATTATTATGTACCATCTCCATGTCAAAGTCCTTTTTCACCTAAATAGAACAGAAAACAGTACATTGACACTTGGTATGTACATATATGCTAGGAATTTCAAAAGGTCTCAAGCATTTGTCTCTATGTCACAACAAACTCAGCACGGGGTCACGAACTAATGAGTACATACACATGAGTGTTGATTGTGTTAAAGTACTATAATTTCTTGCGTATTGCCTGCAGGTTTTACATTTTTCACCTTAAAAAATGGCTACACATTTGTTACCTTAAAATGTGCTCTGCAGGCTATCTGATGAAGTGGGCAATGTGACGAAATTTGTTTAAAAAAAAAAGGCAAGCTATGCAATACCTTTTAAATCCAAAGTCTTTCTCATCGAACGTATGCATAAAGAGTTTATTCACATTTCCGACAATGTGGTACGTTATATTATATCATATATATTTATATGTGGTATACTAGGAGTAGCTATGGCTGTTTACACTAGAATTATAGGCATACTAGTCTAGTAGTAGGACGCAGGGCTCGTAACCGAAAGGTTGCGGGCTCGAGTCATGTCATGGCAATGTGTTGTATTTTTGAACAAGATACTTTACTCAGCTTGTTCCAGTCTACTCAGCTGTAAATGAGTACGTGGTTGGGCAGTACTAGAATTGTTGAATGCTATCTGTGAGCGCCGAACTGGCAGCACCGGCTGTATTTTCCCCAGGGAGTTGAGACAGGTATTGGCTGGTTGCAAATTAAAGGCCCTATAACCACGGATAATAATTTGTGAACCGCTTTGAGACGACCTACAAACTAGGTTGTTAAAAAGCGGTACATGTAAATCAGAACCTCAAATTATTATTATCACTATTATTAGTATCTCCCTTATTGGTATTGGAGGACGACACCTATGCATCAGGGATGTTTTCAAATATGGATGCGACATTCTAAGGGTCAGGACCATTCACTCCCTAGTGAAGGGCTAACCGGCTAAGCCAGAAAGCTAGAGTGACTGTTGCTATATATTTTGTTATGTTCCCTGTAGTGACGTAGAGTGACTGTTGCTATATATTTTGTTATGTTCCCTGTAGTGACGTAGAGTGACTGTTGCTATATATTTTGTTATG